TTCTTCTCATATTTCAATAATTTTGAAATATTTTGAAAATATAATGTTTGGGGAACATTCATGAATACATATTTTATAAGTTGTGTGAAAATTGACCACATATGCGATGAAAAGGGGAACTATTTTCCCCAAATTTAGGGGATTTGCTTCATCTGCCCGCCGCAGTGTCTATACCGAGACACTGCATTGGAGTTCGGGATATGGCACCATGTTTTATGTTTTTAAAGCTTTGTTTGATTTTTTAGTGAAAATTTGCCTGCATTGGTTCCAGCATATCTAAAATCATCTGTATACAGTGAGGCTATACTAGTCGGTGGGAAGAACGTGTTTTTCAAAATATTTGCTTTTCAACATAAGAACTTTCATATGTACTTAATGTGTATACCGTATATGTATAATGAATGTGATTTCAGGACTGTTGGACAACCTTACATCCCATGCCAACTGCCAGGGCAGCTGCCAGTATAGCCGCAGTGAATGGACTCTTATATGTGATTGGTGGACGGACAACATGTGATCAATTCACTGCTCCAGAGACACTTGATATTGTAGAGGTTTATGATCCACAGTTGGATTGTTGGATGGAACTGAACCCAATGCCAACGGGGAGATGTGAGGCTGGAATAGCTGTTATATGATTCATAATAAGGCCCGCTCAGCCCCTGTATATGGCCCATGAGCCATTAATTGAATGTACTCTCATAATAATGCCCATGGGACTCTATTTAGAGGGAACTTAAAGACCTTTCACCAAGTATGTTTATAGTGAGACAAATTCATAAATGAAACAGAGGTTCGTAGGATTTTACTTCAAGATACATGAAATCCTTTTTTCCCCTCTGACTGAACATTATCATGCATTGAAGAAATGTAGTATTTAAGTACAATATGCATAGACCAGACTTCCTTGGGATAACATCTCTCATTATATGGCCCATGTTATTTCAGTATATGGCCCGAGTGACCTCATTATGTAGGAAAACATAAATATCTAGACCTGACTTTAATGAAAAGTCCATGACTTTATTACAAAAAGTGATAATCACTGGTGATAATTCATTTAATTGAACTGCTGTGCAATATTGATGCGGTTAGGATATTGCATCACAGGATGACAATTACTTATTATGGTGCCTAGAATGGTTAGTTATGTGCAGTAAATTCTGTTCTAGTGCTGTCATTTGTAGTCTAACTGCAGTAGGATTTCGCTGCATTTTATGCCATGTATAAGGTACTCAGTGCTTGGCAATAGACTGATAGAAGTGGATTATAAAACCTTCTGGTATGTCCAGTGAGCTTCCCTGGGTGAAGTTCACTAATTTTCATTGCCAGAATAAGTGTTATTAAAAAGATGATTATTTTAATATGACTGGTGTTGATGTCATATTAATGCCTTGTTCCTATGAAAAATGTATTATTAAAAGTGCAATAAATACAAAAATTAGCATTATGCCACAAAAATCACATTTTGTGTTACTAGATATAGTATTTGTTTTCAAAAGTAACGGGGAGGCATCAAAAGATTGATGTCTGTGTAGAAACTTAACTAACAGGTTGGGGGTGTCAAAGGTATATTGATCAGAAAGTTATGCATATAACTTGTTGCATATGCAAGTACAAAAAAACATGTACATGTACAAGTACACTCTGGAGGGAGGGGGGTTTGGAGGGAATATTGCATTGTTAGTTTTAGCATAGGGGACAACAGCTGCAGCTGTTGTATTAGATTATGGTACATGGGAAAATTGCGCTGTTTGGTTGTATGTATCAGAGGATGATGAGTAAAATGGAAGGATAAACTGCGGTAACTCGTCACTATGGTAATTCATTGTATGGGCCAAATTGGATTTTGCTATTCACTATACTTGTCACTATGGTAATTCAATGTGTGAGGCAAAATGGTTGTGCTATACACTGTACTTATCAATATGGTAATTCAATGTGTGAGGCAAAATGGTTGTGCTATACACTGTACTTATCAATATGGTAATTCAATGTGTGGGCCAAATTGGTTGTGCTGTACACTGTACTTATCAATATGGTAATTCAATGTGTGAGGCAAAATGGTTGTGCTACACACTGTACTTATCAATATGGTAATTCAATGTGTGGGCCAAATTGGTTGTGCTGTACACTGTACTTATCAATATGGTAATTCAATGTGTGAGGCAAAATGGTTGTGCTACACACTGTACTTATCAATATGGTAATTCAATGTGTGAGGCAAAATGGTTGTGCTATACACTGTACTTATCAATATGGTAATTCAATGTGTTAGGCGAAATGGTTGTGCTATACACTGTACTTATCAATATGGTAATTCAATGTGTGAGGCAAAATGGTTGTGCTATACACTGTACTTATCAATATGGTAATTCAATGTGTGGGCTAAATTGGTTGTGCTATACACTGTACTTATCAATATGGTAATTCAATGTGTGGGCCAAATTGGTTGTGCTATACACTGTACTTATCATTATGGTAATTCAATGTATGAGGCAAGATGGTTGTGTTATACACTGTTCTTATCAATATGGTAATTCAATGTGTGGGCCAAATTGGTTGTGCTATACACTGTACTTATCAATATGGTAATTCAATGTGTGAGGCAAAATGGTTTTGTTATACACTGTACTTATCATTATGGTAATTCAATGTATGAGGCAAAATGGTTGTGTTATACACTGTTCTTATCAATATGGTAATTCAATGTGTGGGCCAAATTGGTTGTGCTATACACTGTACTTATCAATATAGTTGTTCAATGTGTGGGCAAAATGGTTGTGCTATACACTGTACTTATCAATATGGTAATTGAATGTGTGGGCTAAATTGGTTGTGCTATACACTGAACTTATAAATATGGTAATTCAATGTGTGGGCCAAATTGGTTGTGCTATACACTGTACTTATCAATATGGTAATTCAATGTGTGGGCCAAATTGGTTGTGTTATACACTGTACTTATCAATATGGTAATTCAATGTGTGGGCCAAATTGGTTGTGTTATACACTGTTCTTATCACTATGGTAATTCAATGTGTGAGGCAAAATGGTTGTGCTATACACTGTACTTATCAATATGGTAATTCAATGTATGAGGCAAAATGGTTGTGCTATACACTGTACTTATCAATATGGTAATTCAATGTGTGGGCCAAATTGGTTGTTCTATACACTGTACTTATCATTATGGTAATTCAATGTGTGGGACAAATTGGTTGTGCTATACACTGTACTTATCAATATGGTAATTCAATGTGTGAGGCAAATTGGTTGTGCTATACACTGTACTTATCATTATGGTAATTCAATGTATGAGGCAAAATGGTTGTGCTACACACTGTACTTATCAATATGGTAATTCAATGTGTGGGCCAAATTGGCTGTGCTATACAATGTACTTATCAATATGGTAATTCAATATGTGGGCCAAATTGGTTGTGCTATACACTGTACTTATCAATATGGTAATTCAATGTGTGAGGCAAAATGATTGTGCTACACTGTACTTATCAATATGGTAATTCAATGTATGAGGCAAATTGGTTGTGCTATGCACTGTACTTACCAATATGGTAATTCAATGTGTGAGGCAAAATGGTTGTGCTAAACACTGTATTTATCAATATGGTAAATCAATGTGTGAGGCAAATTGGTTGTGCTATACACTGTACTTATCAATATGGTAATTCAATGTGTGGGCTAAATTGGTTGTGCTATACACTGTACTTATCATTATGGTAATTCAATGTATGAGGCAAAATGGTTGTGCTATACACTGTACTTATCAATATGGTAATTCAATGTGTGAACCAAATTGGCTGTTCTATACCAGTCAAAATGATTATTCAGTGTGTGAGGAAATTGATTGTACTATACCAGTCAAAATGCTCATTCAGTGTGTGAGGAAATTGATTGTACTATACCAGTCAAAATGTTTATTCTATCTCAGTGTCAGAAAATTGATCGAACTCCCGTGCAGTGATAGTCTTCAACATAACACTGCGGCGGGCAGGTATCTCATCGTAAGCATGGTAACTTTGTAATAAACAACTGACGTGATTGGTTCTAGTCCCATGCTCAGGTCGCGTGATTGTAAAATTTAGACAATTTCATTGGTTGAATTGCACGTATTAACTAATAAACAACACGTGTGGTAAACTATTATCAACAAAACTTTTACTCAGAATTCCTTCCGCGGTGATTTCTTCTCATATTTCAATAATTTTGAAATATTTTGACAAAATAATGATTGGTGAACATAAAAGAACATATATTTTATAAGTTGTATGAAAATCAAGTACATCTGTGACAAAAAAGGGGGACTATCTTCCCCAAATTTTGGGGATTCCATAATCTGCCTGCCGCAGTGTCTATACCGAGACACTGCATGGGAGTTCGAAAATTGATTGTGCGATTCCAGTCAAACCAGTCAAAATGGTTATTCAAGGCATGCGGAAATTGATTGTGTTATACCGTGTCAGGCAATCTGACCTGTGTTAGGTTTGTCACTATGATTGTACAGTTGATATGATTCTTGCCCCCCCCCCCCTTCTTCACTGGCCTTTTATGTACATATCAAATATATATATAAAGCCCATTATGAGTATAAGTGCAATGAGTCATTAAACTGTTTGGAACAGGGGAATCTATAAGTCTCATTATGCTAAGCCAATCTAATTGTGTTTTTAGTATGTGCCTCCGTGTGGTACAATGAATGCGTTCGGTTTTTTAAGATGTTGATTGCTATTATGCTAACGTTCATAGTTTTCATGTACGGTCACTCTGCAGTTACCTTTTTGGTAATGATACCGCGTATGGTGTCTTCAGAAATAGAGTACTGTATTCGTTAGCAAGTCATATAAGATAATAACGAGGCCACCAACCTTTAACATTAAGTACATTTTAAATGTTTGTCAAGAATTACTTGAACAATTCATTGTTTATTTATAGATATTATTCTACCAGCATGCACTTCTCAGAGTTCCTCTCGGCGGCCAATTTTGAAAATTGGAAAATCTCATTTTATGGTGGTATTTACGTTTATGACAAGGCGTGTAATCAGCAACTGTTATACTATCGAAAAAATGGTTAAACAAAAGACCAAGCGACAGACTAAACAAGGTAAAACTTTGAGAATGTTAGGAGGGCCCATACAAAATGGTACATGTATCAAAATCTGTAGATCTTATGCATTGCTTTAGAAAACATGTAATGCATCTCAGCAAGATGTGTTCCCCTCATTCAAAATTGAATGCTGTTTTGTAAATTTACAATGGGAGCACAGAGAACACAAATCATATGTTTCAGCCACACATTCACAAACCACAGATAAGAACCAACATGCCAAAGAGAAAGAGGATGTGAAGATATTCACTGTGTGAATGATGAAGAGACTAATGCTATACATATAGGCCGCGCCTGGAGAGCCTTAAAATTTAAGGCTCTCTAGCCAAAATGCTAAAGAGCCTTAAATTTTAAGGTTCTTTAGCATTTGGGCTAAAGAGCCTTAAATTTTAAGGCTCTTTAGCTTTTTGATAGCCAATTCTGCTAGAGAGCCTAAAGGAATTCCAGGCGACAGAAATGACGAAATATTGCTTCTGGGACAAGATCAAACGACTTTGACATATTCTATACCCAACCTATTTTGTAATTTAACAATCAGCACAACATACCATATTAGGAAATATCGGACAAATTCAAAAAGAAAATTTTTTTGATCGAAAAAATCACTGATTATTAAACCGGAAGTGACTTCTCTGAGGTCCGCGAAGATGAAGAAGATAACATATAAAGATTTCAGTCATTTCAACTAACTTTGCCGTCGATTTGAATGGTTTTAAATGATCTTCTAATGCTTACTATGACTTCCTTTAGTACTGTTTGGACTTCCCCACTTCATAAAAAAACATTATCACTTTTTGCTCGACTCATGAATTTACTTCCGGTCTACCGAGAGAAATAAAAGAACCTTTTCAATCCCCAGTCTAAATTTGGCTTTTTAAAGGTTCAAACATCGATTTTGAAAAGTAAATGTTTATTTGTTTGATGTTCATGTATATATCGAAATATATGTCTCTGGTTCACCAGAGAAGGTGTAGACCAGGCAATCACGTATATAGCCAGAAAAATGTTATTTTTACCATTTTATCCACTATAAATCGCAACGTCCGTTTAGTAAAGATTTTGATGTTTAGACATTCATAGAGGGACCTCTTGTACTGTAAATTTTCTTTGTGCTGTCTCATGTCTCATTTCTACAACTCTTGTGCTTAAATTCTGAGGAAGATGCAAAAAATATCTCGTCACGTGAAAAATTCTAAAATCAGCACTGAAATCTAATGGGCAATAGATTTGGAAGTGTATTCTGTGATGTCCCTGCATTCACGATAAACTGCGTCAAGATGTGCTGATCTAGAAGAAACAAGATCCTTTTTCATCCCCAGGTCTTCATCATACTTTTTGCCATCTTAAAATGGGATTCCCTGTATTCTCGTGACTAGATTATAGCAGAGCCGATACAAGTGATTAATTTCAACATTGATGATTGAGCGATGGAGCAAGCCCAAGAATTCTAGAAAAAATTGTGTACATAATTTCCGGACATCAGAGAACCAGGCGGAGAACAAACTTCCGGCTTTTTATTTAAAATGAAAGGTGCTCCGTCGGGGAATCGAACCCATGCCTCAGAAGCGGAAAGCGAGCACCCTAACCACTATACCAGAGTGTTATTCCATAGTGAGGCTTAATTTTTTTACAACTTTAGTGATATACATGTGTGAAATTTTTAAGTGGCATTCTGGGTTGAAAACTTTCGAGAGTGTTGTTTTATTGTTTAGATGACGAAAACTTCAATAAAAACAATATAAACACGGATTATAAACACAAAGGCTCTCTAGCCAAAACACTATGTTCACAGCTAAATAGCCTTGAATTTTAAGGCTCTTTAGCATTTTGGCTAAAGAGCCTTAAATTTTAAGGTACTCCAGACACTTCGATACATATATGTGAATAGTTCTCTGTGAATTGGAAGCTGCCCACCAAGTCAGTTCAACATCAGTATCCATGTTATCTTGTTCCAACACCATCCTCTTCGTAGAACGTAGAGATAGTCTTGGAACGAGATAATATCCATGCACATTATGAAGCCTTTTCTCCATATGGGATATGTTCCATAGACTCCAAGAGTCATTCAACGTCTGGGAGCAATCCCATGTACTCTCATGCAGGTTCATATAAATGCAATGGTTGGTATGATTGGCTAGGATCGAAGACTTGACCATTCTACTAGTGAAAATCTACTCTTCCAAGCAATACGCTCATCTAATCTAATTGAGCGGGGCACCAAGTGACTAAACTTACATCTACTCTTTCATTTGTACAGTATATGTGCCTGGGTATGGGGAGGAGTAATTATTCCTCACTGCGCACTTCCCCATTTGCCTCCTCAGGTCTTTCAGAGTTGCATCTGACTCAGTAGAACTCCATTTGACTAAATCTGGAACCTTATCCAAATTGAATTTTAAATACAATGTACATACAGTCTACATTAGGTCAAGCAGATCTTTAGAATACAAAGTACTGTACATGTATCTATATGGTTTAACATGTCCCTCCTTATATCTATTTTAACTGATTTAAGCCTAATAATTTTAATTTGTTACTTCAATGAGACATTTTTGTAGCAACTGAAGATGAATGAAATCTCTGCCAATTATGCTAAACATATTTTGGCCTTATTAAGTTATTATAATGGAATATTATGTTTCAGCCACACATTCACAAACCACAGATAAGAACCAAAGAGAAAGAGGATGTGAAGATATTCACTGTGTGAATGATGAAGACACTAATGCTATACGCCAGAAACTACTACAGTGGTATGATAAAAACAAAAGAGATTTGCCATGGAGACGATATGCTGTAGATGAAAAGGATCCAAACATAAAAGCCTATGCAGGTCAGAAATCATATAGATACGACGTCAGATACTGAACATCGCGGCATTTTACTGCATTTTTACATGCGTTCTTACTTTTAAAACCGCAATATCTCGACAGCAAAATCATATTTTTCTACAATTTTTCGTCATCAGTTGAACACGTATGTCCATGAAATATTTTGCCTATCAGAATTCCAAATAACTGATTTGGGACTTTTTAAATGCGAATCACGCAAGCCGTATTATGCGCCTTTATATGCTAAAACCGGGTGTGGACTGTAACATTTTGAAGAAAAATGATTTCAATTTTAAACGAAAAATGAAGATAACTTTTTCATTTCTTAACGGATCTTTCTCAAACTTTCACAATATTTAAATTCACCATTTTGAAAAAGACAAACAGATTCTGGTTGATGACGTCATAATATAACAATGCTAACTTAACGCTTATATTTATGCAAAAAAAGTGTGGACAGGCAGAATTAAAGTCGTACCAACAAGATATATATTTTGATCAATTAAACATTAAATCGTTTGAAAGGTGAATTATTATTTTTTGATTCCTGAAAGGCATATCATATTCTATATTTTTATCAAAAAACTATATCATTTCGATTGAAATTCAGTCTGTAAGAAGCATAAATTGAAAGAAATATGAAGTGAAGCCATGTGAAAAATTCACAAAATTACGTTTCATTTTTGAGTTCAAATATTTCTAATTAAGGGATAAACATTCAAAACTTTTCAATGTTTCAGCATGTTCTTTTAAATATACCCCTTACTACATACAATTAATTTCATTTAATTTGATCCAGTATATATTGAGATAGACATCATTTTATCACCGCAACCCCAAGTGAAGCCTTTACAAAATAAGACGTTATGCCGTTGGCGTATTATATGTTCTCCTTTATTATTCATTGCTTCAAATAAATAAAACTAAATATTCGAGTTAAAATCAATTACAAATAATGCATTTAACAATCCTTAATATCTTCCCGTCTGTGTATATCAGTTGAATATGACAAGGGGCACTCTGAAAGTGTCTAGAAAGACGGTGCGACAACGAGAGCGCGGGGCCGAAAAGCGCGACAAAGAAGAAAACGGGTAGGGTTTGAAATGTCTACTTTCTGGTGATTCTAATTCTGTATATCGTGATACAACCTTTTTGAATATAGAATTGTATTGAAGCACACATTAATCTGAACAAAACTTGAAGTTTTTAAGAAGATTCCACGAATATTAAAACTTCTGCAATTACTTGGAGGAGCATTGCGCATATTTATCGCGTAAATCTTTGCATTTTGTCGGTAAAATGGACAATTACAATGTTACGCCGTGATGTACAGTATCTGACGTCGTATCATAGTGTTCAGTGAATATAAAGATGATATTACAATAGATACGCATCATGGAATACCATGGCCCTCTCTTCTTGCAGCATAGATCGCCATGGAATTTGGTAGAGGGCACTTTCGATTTAGAATTGGTGGAATCGACGGATGAATCAAATTTGGTTTAACAAACACGTAATGTAAACGTCACATCTCAAAAGGAATTTTCAACCAACTGCATAGCAACTGTGTAATAAACAATTTCTGGTCGCAAAAGGTCCTTGCAAAGTCCTAAGTCTTTACTTAATATATCTTACAGTTCCTTCAAATTATTTTATATTTTTCGTAGGAATTAATACTTACGAGGGTTGTCCCATAAGTCCTGAACTAATTGTTATAACATAAAAAACAAACATTTTATAAGATATGGTGAATTCAATTAGAAGGAAACACGAAGAAATTAATTTTTTTAAAGTATGTCAACTTTTTTACAAGAGTAAACTTCCCGGGAATTTTAAGATTGTATGGGAAGCCCCGCCTACTCAATCAGCGGGATTGGCACGGAAAATCAGGCAACTAAACACAGACATGTTTTTAGATGCAATGTGTATCAGAATGATACATATGATGTATCTCTAATAAATACACTGAATGCTTAAACTGATCATTCAATGATCCTATTTAATCAAAAATTTATCAAAAGTCAAATACAGATAAATTAGGTCATTCCCATTTAAAGGTCCCATGTAAAGTTGAAAACACTATTGTTGTTGTTGTTGTATTTTGTTTACCACCAATGAAGGTGAGCAATACCTCTTGGGTATGTCCCGTATATGTACGGTCGTAATTTACGTAATTAACATGGAAGATAGACCCAGAAACCCCTCCTTGAAGGAGCACTGTGTTCTTTTATGTGCACTTATACATAGACATACAAGTACACACCACAGCCTTTTGTACGAGTTGCGGACCACTCAGTCAAACACCCTGAAGTACTTCACGCAAACAAGCAAATTTAGTCTTGCCTGAACCGGGGGTCGAATCCGGGACCTATTGCGTAAGAGGTACCTGCGCTACCGCTGAGCCACACGGGTGGACTTATTGCATATATTGTTGTTGTGATATACCTGAATGATGCATTCAAAATGTGAAAAGTGTAATTTATTTTGCATTTCTAAAAGTTATTTTTGAAGGACCTTTTGGTCAGAATCAATTAATTAGCGATACTTTATACATAAAACCCTTGCAAAATCCCATGTTTAGAAGAAATATGGCAAAACATATTGAAATCAAAACCTCTGTGGAGTGAACACCTACTCAGAGAGAATTTTTCTGCTCTGTACAAATGGTTTAAGTAGAACTGGTAGTATAACTTCTATGAGTCTATTTTGATATCCATTTCAAGAGAGTAGCCAGCAATTGACGATTTGCGATCACCGAATGGATTCTATCTTTTAGTGACGTCACAATTAGGCCTGCCAGCTTTAGATGCTTGATTTTGAGAGATTATCTTCTATATTTCATGCTTTATTGATTAATTTTTCACAAACGCGTTCGATTTGACTAGATCAACATTCATGCTAAGCATATACCAAGTCTAAGATCTTACTGACATGATTTAGATAGCGGTTAAGCGCCCCCCCGATTTTGACAAAACAGGGGGCGCTTATAGGCATCGATGTTTAATATGAATTTCACCCAAACTTCGCACATATATAGATAAACTCATGATCTAGTCAAATCGGCATACCTGGTAAATATCCGACCCATGGTTTTCATAAAAGAAACGACAATATTTTTAGCTCAAAACTGCCACGTGTCCGCCATTTCGTGATTCCATCATTTCTAATATCATTTCTATGTGACGTCACACCAATAAGACTAAACACGTGACAACAGTATCCATAAACAAAATTCCTGAATTCTGATCGCAAAAGGTCAATTGTCAAGGGGCTGTGAATTTTTGACTTTGCATCACTGTAAGCCACAAAAAGGGGGTACAGGGTTCACCCCGCAAATCTTTAGAAATTTACATTGTTAATTGTGCATTTTAAGCAGTTCAAACTATGCTTTGTTAATGTGTTTTTTTAAAAAACAAAAACAAAATTGCTTTTTTCTTTTTTTGTGGGGTTTGGGGGTGGGGTGGGGTGCGATCCCAGCACACTGGCTACGACCATGCAGTTTGCATGCAAAGTAAAGTCTGTTTTACAGTGTGGGTATCTGAGATCATGCTACAGCAGACACAAGTGGCCACTGTTATAGACTACTACACAAGATGGATGACCAAGTGGCCCACACTCCAAGCTCTCTCCATGGCTTCATTGGAGGAAGTCAATGAAATGTGGTCTGGTCTAGGCTATTACTCTAGGGGCAGGAGGCTGCATGAAGGTGCATGTAAGGTAATGTAGATCTCTTCTTGGGTATGCTGTATTGGAAGTGTTGTAACTGTGTTGATTATGTCTTCTTACCTGTTACCTTGGTAACTACTGAATTATGTAACTGTACATCTATGAATCATTAAAAATGTATATCTAAATGTACTTTAGGTTGTCTCAGAGCTTGGATGTAACATCCCTGATAATGCTGATGATCTCTTGAAGCAACTTCCTGGTGTAGGAAGGTACACTGCTGGAGCTATAGCATCTATAGCCTTCAACCAGGTACACTCATCACTTAATTATTTAACACATTGTTAAGGATTAATTTCCCTTACCTAAATTTCTAGAATTCTGGCAATACTTTGTAATCTCTGAGATACTGTGTAAATATGAATGTTGTACTGAATGAATGTTTAGCTACTAGTATTAATGTTCAAATGTCGCACTAAAAATCATTGTATGCACACTTCGAGAAAAACTCTTAATTTCATGAATAAAGAATGGTATACATTAATATTATACTATATGCAGTCACAGAGTCACCACTGATTTTGATTTGCTACTTTTTAGGCAACAGGTCTTGTTGATGGGAATGTTGTGCGAGTGTTTGCCAGACTACGAGCTATAGGGGCTGACAGCACTTCACAGCCAGTTACAGACAGACTATGGTACGTCCTCAAGAAAACATCAATGGATCTTTTGGGATCTAACTTCAGACAGAAAAAATATTTTCTGCTTGGATGTGAAATAGAATCTTGTGTATGGTAGATGAATTATGAAAAATTATTTTGGGTTATATTATAAAAGGGTAGGAATAAAATTCTGAATTCAGCTTTTCTTAAAAATAGAACTATATGCACTGTTGCTCATAAATATGGAATATTAGATTTTTGTCAGATCAGAATTAAGCTTCGGATGAAGAGACCATTTAAACACATATTTAATTTACAAATCAACATTTATTTGGGAAAAAATATTTACATATAAGTTTAGAAATTTGCTATTGTTTAAAATGGGGTAGTCTAAAAAAATTTGCATTTTCAAAACACCCCAATCCAAACTTTAAAGCAGATCAAATGAGCTAAACATCAGGTCATGAAGATGAATGAGTTCTCTATCCCATAACAGCACTAATATGCGGTTTGTCCTCCTAATGCGGCAATCAGAGCATCCATCCCTTGGGGCCAGCTGTCAATGAGATGTCTGACCTGTCTACGCGAAATAAGGTTCAACTTCTCAATTAGGGGAGTATATAACTCTACTAAATTTTGAAATCGCGGATCCCTGTCACGGATTGTGCTATCAGTCTCATCCCACACATGCTCTGCAGGAGCCTGATCAGGTGACTTTGGTGCCTATGGTAGCTGCTCCACTTTGCCTGGCCTGGGAAAATCATGCACAATGCAGCTATTATGCGCAGGAGCTTGATCCTCCGTTTGCATGTGGTACTAGATGTAGGTACAAAAGGTCACTGAACCTCTCACCACAGACATTACGGTTGAGACTCACCAAGGGGGTGTGCCTCTCCCTGGTGAATACCGCCTCAAATATGAACAGATCCACCTCCATGAGCTACTTTTATTAATAATCAGCTTTATGTGCAAATATGATGAGGAAATCAGGACACAATAAACATTTTTAATTATTGATTTAATTAATTATTATCATTTATAAGAATTATACCAAACAATAATATTTATAAAATATTCCATATTTATGAGTGTTTAGGGTAAAAAGAATAGGTTTCCCGGCAAGATCTCATTCGTTTTTATTCTGTTAAATTGAGTTCAATTAGGGTGTACTGGATCTCTTAGTTGAATGAAACCTACTACCACATAATACTTTACAGTATTGGAGGAACAAAGTTAAATCGCAATGATTTTTTGACTGAAAGAAAACACCTGTCCTTCAAAGAGCATGGCAAATGTATTTATTTTATTCCAATTAGAAAATCCTATGAATGTACATCTAGTCTAAATACAGTATAACATACATGTACTTCATATATGTCAAGAACCTGTACTCTATTACAAATATCTATACTCAAGTACATTTGTCTCACAGCTTACTACTCACTGACATGTGGCTGACATCTGTGCTCAAGTACATGTGTTTGAGAACTATAATCAGATACATGTGTTTGACATCTATACTCAAGCACATATTCTCAGGTACATGGGCCTTGAACATTTACTCAAGCATGTCAAACACATGCATCAGTCAGCTGAATGCAACAAGTACCCAGACTCAATTACATTTTTCTAGCAGCTGTACTCAACAGGCACTCAAGGTCCAGAATATCTATCAAATGCATCTTTATCAGAGAATGTGATGAGAGAATTTCTAAGTTTTGGGCCCCATTTGTCAGCCATTATGTTGTACGGATGTGAGGAGGCTAACATTGGTCCTGTATCAGGTCCCCCATGCTGGTTTCTCCTCCCTTTAAAATGAAGCATTTGTAACCCTTTAGCAAATATTGACCTGCCGTGCTTTACTTTATCTTGCTCTTTATTGGGTTTCACAAACTCAGGCAAGAAAATAGCCTTTGTTACAAAGTTCAATGGAACGTTTGCAATTCTCAAAACCTTTTCTATTAATAAATCCCTACTTCTATTCCCCCATCCCATCATGACCATGTTGTCCAGCTTAATCTGACTTGTGAAATTTTCCGAAATATTTCCAGATGTTGGTTTTTCGTAAATGGTGAAATTATGCAGAAATCTTTGCATAAAATTTTCGTTTAAGTCCTCCGGGTTGTATAGGTATTCATCTAAGTCTAGATGCATGGTCCATTTCATCTGGAACTGGTACCAACTTAGGATATACTGGTAGCACTCAAGCCTGCTCTGCTCTATAGTGTTGACCTCTTTGTTAATAAAGCCCCAGGGGATATATGTCATTACCCCATGGTCAACATATTTCTGTAGCTTATCCACCAGTTGTTCATTTTCATTCTTAAAGGCGTCACATAGAAATACATGTTCAACACCAGATATATATGTATAATGCAGCCATTGTTTCAGCTCTGCTAGGGTGATGTTCGCAGGGTCATACTTGAATATTCTCACAAATAGCATCGCAGATAACATATAGACCTTCTTTGGTTTGACATTATTGAAGTCAACTGTTGGAGGTTGTCTATTCTGCCATTGTGGAGGATTGATCCGTGGCTCTCCTGGTTTATGATTGTATGCAGGCCATGATTGTGGCCTCAAGTTTATCAAACTAGGCCTTCTTGCCAAGCCACTTTGGCTCTGAGGTAACATGCTTAAGTATCTATTTAAGCCATTTGGAGAGAGTGTATGAGGATTGTTGCCACGAAGCCTACTGGGGTATAATTGTAAGGGGTTTTGCTTGTTGAGTGTCTGCAATTCTTCCAATTTTTTCTTGACTGGGTCCATTGATTCCTCTGATCTGACATCATCTAAAGCATGTGGAACCCAATCATTGGGAACGTCATCAACAACTTCATTGTCTCTCTGTCTTCGTTCAGCATTTTCATATACACCAGGAGATAACACAACACGCTCATCTCTTGGAACATTGGGGTTATTGTTGACTTTTTCAAATTCATGTTCAGGTCTTTCCTGATCCATTTCATCTGTATCTTTATTTTCTTCAACATTGTTAGTTTCAAATTGAGTGTCTTGTCTTTTTATCTTTTCATATGCCTTGATTGTATTAGTTTGCACAATGTTGAAGTAGACCAGACCAAGCATGAGTGCTGATATAACCAACATCACACCTTGTTTCTTCAAGAAAATCCTCCGAGACATTTCTTAAAACTTTCTTTAGTCTCTATGGTAACGGTTATTATTGATGCCTCATCCCCCACCTTTTAAAATGATCCCAATTTCTATTTTTCTAAATTATTTTTGATGTGTTATTTTTTATCTAAATTGATGCTTGTGTAGTGACACTTGGCAATTCAATCTACATGTATATGTTGTATTGATTTCGGAAATAAGTTGATAATTCATCGACATGTCAATCAACACAATGAGGTGATGAAAATAGAGGAGTAGTAACATGTGGTGGAGATAGCAGAAGTTGTTGACTGGTTGGGTTATTCTCTAATATGTGTGCATAATGTGAATTATACAATGTATGCATCATCAATTCATTGATTATAGTTATAAATTGTACGGCTGGCACAGAATGGAATCATTGTTAATATCACAGACCTGAAGTCTATGGTTTAATGGACTTTTTGGCATGCCTCATCCGCCTCCTCCTGTTCCCAGATTTTTCATTTTCTGGAAAAACACTGCCAACTTTAGCTCCTGATAGGGAACTTAGTCTAGCTACAAGCCTCTGTGATCCCCCTCTACTTGACTAAACACCTTCTTACACATTAGTGTTGTAGGGGGGGGGGGGGTCACAAGGGCTTGTAGCTAGATGATAGGGAACTGGGATATAACCAAATCAATAAATATATTGTATGTTGCTCTATAATCATATTAAATGATTCAGAATTGATTTTATATATTTCATTGGTTTTTAAGTTAGCTATCACTGACATTATATATATTTGTGTCTGAATATCTGACTGATCCAAATTCCGAAGCCAAGTACTCAAATCTCTTTCAATCTGATTCTGTTCCATTTTGTGCCAACTCTATAAACTTGTATTCATTGGTTTTTATTTCCAAATTGTATATTGTTACATTAATGCAAAATTGTTTTCAGTGATTGGACAATTATTCAAACAGAACTGTTTCCAATTGACAGGAGTTGTCAATTCAATCGTGTGATTCATCAGCCTTATTTGAGGATCACTGGAGATTTGTAGTTTCATGACAAATTACCTTATATGGGCATAGAAAATGGTAGCAAATGAAGCGTTGTAGTTCTAACTTCAAATACAATATGGATTCAGGCTAGCATTTTATCAGTGCATGAATACTAAGAGCTGGACACCCAAGTTTTTAAATGCCTCATTATTGAATTTTTGCATCTATTCAGCAGGAATTCCACCCATTGTTGCGGTGCTTCAACTTGTACTTTTGAACATCCGCGCTAAGAGAATATAGTTCGCAACATGTGTTCAGAAATTGGGGATTCGAGAACGAACTTGCTTCCGACATTCATGAGTTTTGTACGATTTTTGGTTAACTTTTACAAAAAGTCATGTTTACTAACCATTGATTTTAAGCACTTATATCTCATATTCTTTTGACAAAAAATACAGCATTGAAAAAAGCTAGTAATTAGCTTTCTTCTCATATGTTTTTCATATATCTCTGGTAAAAAATGAAAAAGTTACATTAAGTTTAAAACAAGTGGTTGACTCGGGATGAATTTCGCGTCAAAAATCAGTGGACTGATCACCATAGATTACTACACGATTTGGCACAAAAGAACAATTGAAATGACGTCGTGGAATTCCTGCTGCATTGAATCTTTGCACGGTCGTTATCTTCGTATTTTATGAAAACTTAGGTAGCATTTCATCAAATGGCTCCTAGTCGAAATACTACTTAAATACATTCTTTTCAATTATCTCTTTTGTATGTATGGTATCTCCCATTCCTATGAATGTACCAGTACAATACATAATGCATGATCTCTACCTTTTTATCATACATTATGATTTATATCTTCTTTTGTATGTGTATTCTAGGTCTCTAGCAAATACACTTGTTGATCCTGAAAGGCCTGGGGACTTTAACCAAGGGCTGATGGAGTTGGGAGCCACAGTCTGTACACCAAAGACACCGCTTTGTGCTAAATGTCCTCTACAAAGCCATTGCTTGGCATATCAGCAGGTAAATACAGATACATAAGGGTTATGTACTGGGAGGTTTTGGATATGGGGTTTATCCAGAGGGAGATATGCATATCTACCTGAGGGACCATATGAAAAAGTCATTTTATTGCATTACTGGAAGGGGGAAGACATGCACCGGAAGCGGGAAGACATGCACCGAAGCGGGAGATATGGCGGGAGATATGAAGGTTCTGGATATGGAAACCTCAAAATCAGGATACGGGATATATCTTACCAACTTATCTCCCTGAAACTCTACTTGGCATAGGATAAAGCAGCATATTACAACTCTTTGAGGAATGTTATAAAAACCCTTCGACCTGCACCTTCGACCTTCACCTTCGACCGACAGGGTGTCCAAAAAGAAAATATTATAGAAGCTATTTTGCCGATCTCAGACCAGAAAAGAGTCAAATTTTCTTTCGAAACTATATAATCTTTCCATTCAAGGATTTCCATATACTGCCCTGTCACGCATTTGCTGGAAAAATAGAAATCACGCATCAATTTAGCGTGTATGATCAAATATCACGCAAATCACGCATTTTGTTGATATTTTTAAAAATCTTTTTTTGTGAAATGCCGACACGGTAAAAAACCGAACGGCGAAGAAAAGCGAATGCATTCCGTTCGGTCTTTGCACGCGATTGCCGTTAATGTCACGCATTTGCTTCGAAAATGCCAACAGTGTTGACAGTGTTGGCTAAAAAAAATTTTGTAAATTCAAAACAAATCTTAGACGTTTTTTAATGATCTAATTATGTTATATATTCGTATTTTTCGTTTTTTGGGTACCCGGTTTTTTCGACCGGGTACTGGGTACCAAGTTTGAACCCAGCATGGAGGATTTACTACCCGGTACCCGGTTTTTTCTACAAACCCCAAATTATATCTGTATTTCAGTAATGGACGGCACATGCATGCGTTTAATAATTTAAACAAATCATATTACTGGATTTAATATGCATGCGCAAAAAAACAGAACCAAAAAAAGACTGGCGCAGATCCCCCCCCATTGCCCTTGTGCAATTCTTTATACTCTTCAACGGAGGAGGCCAAGAAACGATCGATGGAAATCATTTGCTTGAATTCAAGAACTGTTTTCATTTCTCCTGGGACATATCGTTTACTAACTGCATGCATAACTGAGTATAAAACGTCAATAAGTCAAAGGTGCAGGTCGAAGGGTTTTCATAACTTTCTTTTTGGCCCGCTTTTTGAACACCCTGTAAGTCGAAGGTGAAGGTCGAAGGTGCAGGTCGAAGGTCGAAGGGTTTTTATAACATTCCACTCTTTGAAGCTTATATGGAACTTCATGTATTTACTTAATGCTCAAACCAGTTTGTTTAAATTGAGCTTTGAAATATCATGTTTCACTGTTTCTGTATTGTCCTTTTTAGGTTGAGCGTGAGAAACATGTGCTCCAGTCTCATCTTGTAAAGTCTAATACAGTGGATGTATCAAGTCCTGAGATACCTGACATAGAATGCAGTTAGTATACTTTAGCAATTTGCACATCGTCCTTGAATTCAATATGTTGTGTTTAAAAACATTATTAATATATTTTATTTATGTTTACATGGCACATTATAATTCAAATCATCATTCTACAGTAATGAGTGGATTGACCAGTTGTCAAGATTCAAATCAAATCATAAACATACTGTGTACAAAACCAGCTTATACTGTTACTGGCAACTTTCTACAGTCAGGAAGAAATTAGGAGGGATGACATTTTATTGTCTAATTTCAAAATGATTTTTGGAATTTTGAAAATGTTATTGAATTTTACTTTACACAAATTGCATTTTTATTTCTATTATTTATAAAATCAATAATTTAATTCAAGCATATTGGCAGGTTGTTGTTTCATACATGAATCTAGATACGACACTGTCAATCACAATATTGCTAGAAATAATATCTGGGTAAATGTGTATTCATAAGGGTGAAATCAGGATAGTGTAAGAGTATTGTTTTCTGAAAAAGTATGAACTCTTGTTTTGTATAGAATTATAATGAATAATTTTTAATTTCAGTAGGTGAAGACTGCAAACTATGTATCCCTCCATCAGACCCATGGCAATATGAGTGAGTTGATCTTTGACTTATTATTGAATGTGTTAGAAATACCAGTAATATTTGTGTAATAAGATTTAAAAATGAAGGTTAAAGGTTATATCAAAAGACGGTATAATGTATGTTTAGGGAGATGTTCGTAAAATATAATTTTCTTTATATTAGTGATATGGTATTGATTTCTTTCATTCCCATGGTTTATCAACAAATCAACTATGAAGGTTTTTATTGAGAGAGTTAGTGTGGAGGTTAGGTAGAATCTGTATATAGTGAACACACAAAAAGTGTTCATTGTAGGCAGGTGTTCATTACAAAGAGGGGATTGTATACAGGAGTCAACGTAAAATGTGTCTTGAAGTGGTGTTCACTAAACACTAGTATCCACTAGAGAGAGGTGTTCACCAAGACAGGTTTTACTGTATACTGATTTATTTGCCCTACCCCGGTTATACATAAGATACAAAATTATCCCTGCTTGATTTACTTTAGTCTTGGAGTACAGAACTACCCCCGTAAGCCTAAGAAGAAGGCTCCCAGAGAGGAGAGAACTGGTGTATGTGTGTTATGTGACAAACAGAACCCCAAAATGCCACGCTACCTCATAACTCAACGTCCAGAGACAGGTACATGGGGTTAGGGGGGAAGGATTGTTGTCAATCAAGGTTGTTATGAATGATGTTGCTGTTTGATATCTATAGTTTTTGTGTCACTGTAACCATTACCAAGTGATGACATTTTGTCCTTTTTATGCTTTCTCAAAGAATATTCATTTTAATCTTTTGATGGAGTTCATTCTATAAGGAATTGCACATTGTTGAATTGCATATGGCATGGGCTTTCCAAATATTTACCATGGTACATGTCATGTATATATGATAGTTAAAAATTTCATGTATGAGTGTTGTAATGTTATAAAGAACTACATGAAAATTTTATATCCATTTTGTATCCAGGTCTTCTGGCAAATCTGTGGGAGTTTCCCAACTTTAAGCTAGAGGAGAATGGAAGAAAAGAAAAGCTAAATTCTGGAAGTTTCTTAGAGAGCACACTGTCCATTGATTCCTCAGACACCATTGATCAACAACATATAGGGGAGGTATGTACATAAGTCAAAGTGAATGACAACCAATGTTATTGACAAATTGTTAGTCTCCAAAAAGTCTGTTAAGTTTTTGGCATACAGCATTTTGATTAAGCATCTGTAGCAAATGGTAGGTGGTGACATTTTCCAGATTAATGCCTTATTTAAGACAACTATAACCTTCTATCTGAGATATTATTTGGTCTAAGAACAGTTTTAATGGAATTATTCATGATTTTCACTTTTCACTCATTACCCTCAATTTTGACAAAAAGGTTTGAATATATCCATTCTGTTTAACATTTCTATTTTAGGTGGTCCATATATTCTCCCATATCCACCAAACGTATCTGGTTGACAGTCTGTGCATCAATGAAAGAGGAGTCAACAACATAGCCAATGACTGTAATGGGCAAGCAACTAAATGGGTCACGAAAGAGGAACTTCTCTCCTCTGCAATATCAACTGCAATGAAGAAGGTATGCTTTTCAAGTGTATACATTTATGAGTAATTTATGATGATATTATTTATAAAAAACATTTGTCCACCCAGGTAGCATTTACATTAATATTTGTGTGTTGATGCAACATTCCTAAAAATAAAGTTAATATTATATTTTATAGAGGGCGACACATACTGTTTTAATAAATGCTAATAAGTTTGGATCATATTTTGGAATCATGGAATAGATGTCACTGAGCATAAAATCTAGTCAGATTTAATATCTTTCCCAGTTTAATTCATAGTTCTCTGTAAAGTAATGTCACATCACTGAAACATTATTTTAACATCATTGTTAATCACTTCTCCCATCTTCTCATTTCTGCAAAACGCAGATAGAATTTGCCTTGGCCCATGGTTTTGCAGAATTTTGAATTTTAGTAAATTTCCCCTGGATTTCCTGTGGAATTGACAAAATTTCAGAAAGTACAGAAAGATGAATATATAGCCCAAAAGCCAAGAAAATATTTTACTTTTCTGTTGTTTTACTTGCTAGATCCCATGATTACAGTGAATGACTTTCCCAATAAGTCCTATTTCTCTCATCTTTTCCATGAGAGTCTAAGCTTAATTGCCATTTTACTTGCAGAATTCATAATTTCAACTTGCAGAAAACTGATAATGTTAAATACACAATTGGCTTGTTTGAAACCAATCAAGGGCATTCTATTAGAGAAATTCTAATTGGAACCCCATTGCGTTAAAGTCATTAAGTTTTAATATACGAGAGTAGAGTATCTAATGCATCATATCATATCAAAACCTGAACTTGCATTTTCTTTTTAACACCAAAGAAACATTATTGAAAATAATAGTTAGAGAGTTTTGGCTTAAAAGGCCATTAAATGGGAGCTGGGACTTCTGTAATTTTAATTAAGTATGATGCCTACCCTGACATATGCAATGGTTTCAGTATTTCAAAAGTATTGACAAAATCCCAAATACTGTATGTCCTATTTTGTTTTTGAAAAACCTTATTTTATGAGAAATGGGACATTTGTTAAAAGAAAATGCAATTCATCTTTTATTGTACAGGGCGTTCAGTAAGTAAAGCTAATTTTGCTCTCAAACTTTTATTTTTTGTCATTTATCTTTCAAATTTTCAGTGAAGAAGCATTTGACATTTTTCTAACTACCCTGAAAAATTAAATAAGATATGATGAATAATAGCAAAACAATGGTTGTCATAGTAACGTGAATACGGGTTCTGCGGAGCAATTTCTTACTTTAATAAAAATGTTATAATGCAATGAAATTGATTAAAGACCAAAATCGGGTATAAAAGGCAGATGGAACAGCCCACAACAGCCAAATATGGTAGTTTAAATGTCCAGTTCAAACAAAATGAGAAATTTTTCAAACTTTCTGCTATAGCCAGATAATTATGATGAGTTACAAGCTCATTTTTGTTACAGTGGTTCATGAATCTATAATGACTATAATTTTCAAATCAAATTCCTAAAATGTTGTTTAGTTTTTGTGAAATTAGACAATTCATTTTTCTAAATATGCTCATTAGCATAACTGAAACTTTCAATTTCAGCCAATGAGCATCTCTTATCTGTCTAAAAGTAAACAAACATAGCATAAGGCTATAGCAGACCATGTGGTTCTGTATATGCTGGACATTTAAACTGACCACATAAGCACTGATTGGCTGAGCGATGACAGCTTAATTAATAGCTTCACCCTGGGTTTCTACTTAACAGAAATTTAGGCCTTTAAGATTAATGCTGCATATGTCTTTGTTTGCTATGGCTGAAAGTCACGACAAACATAACAACAACATACACAAATATGATACCATGGCAACAGTAGTCTATGACATCACAGACAGATGATACAACAGATGGAATGATCCACCAGACACTGCTCCATGACATCATCAAAATTCGCAAGAAGAGGCCCCATAGGACTCTCAACTCCTACATATTCCATCAAGATAATGCGTTATCGCATAGGTCGCAAATGGTGCAGGATACTATCCAGAAAACGCTGGAGATGGAGGTTCAAGGCCAGTCAGCGTATTTTCCTGACAAGGCACCGTGCGATTTTGGGGGTATTTTCATGTTTGAAAAATGATCTGCGTGGTAAGATCCACGCAAATATCCATGAGCTTCAGAATGCCGTTCAACGTTCATTGACAAAGAACTTTCCAGATGGCTTCCACAGGATATATCAGAAGTGGATAGAACGACATCAGCTGTGTGTGAAAGCTAAGGGGAACTACTTTGAACATGAAATAGAATGCTAACTTGAAAGTAGAAATGTGGAGTAGCCACATAACTATGGTTGAAATATAGACAGGACAGAAACTAACGTTAACAAAATCTACTATGCTGTGAACTTATAAAATTGCTCCGCAGAACCCGTATTCGCGTTACTATGACAACCACCATTTTGCTGTTATTCATTATATCTTGATCATTTTTTCAGGATAGTTAGAAAAGTGTCTGATGCTTCTCCACTGAAAATTTGAACGATGATAGACAAGAAATAAAAGTTTGAGAGCAAAATTAGCTTTACTTACTGAACGCCCTGTATAATTATATGCAATGTTTGAAAGTGTCTGATGAGATTATACTTGTTTTGACCACTGTACCTAGTTTTATATAACACCTCAACACCAGAGACACGTGTTAAGTTGTTAACATCCCAAAAACATCTCAAACCTCATGCCACATTAGGTTAAAGTAAACCTTATTCAAACAAAACTTATCACCATATCTGATTGGATTTGACTTGTTTGGTACAGCAGACATTTCCACAATTCAACATAAGGATCACCCAGATTTCATATGATTTATAGCACTTTAATTAATTTCTTTACGGCCTTACTTTCTTCCTTTCATTTTTTGATGACTTGTTAATTACCTTAAATTGCATCCTCATTTACTCTACATAAACCCCATGTATAGTTATAGCTTTGATCGATGTAACTGGTTATTGATTCAATATACAAGATTGATGGCTAATGTCAATGAGTTAAATCTCAAGGGTTTCAGAACCCTTGAAGCAACTGAACCATAACATTCAGTAATTATTTTTTGATATTTTTGAATTTGTTTAATTATTGGGTTCGGGTTATCTGCTTGTTCACTGCAATATTGAAACTAGTGTGAGGTATACTGCCTGTCAATGCCAGTTAACTATAAGCTTAGTTCATTGAGTTTCAAGTTGACCTTTGATCTTTTTTTGACCTTGACCTAATTGTAATCTTTTCTTTACTTGTAACCCAAAACCTAAAGGGAAAAACACAAAATAGTCAAATAATGGATTCCAATATACTGATCTTCCAGTTGACCATTAAATGTGAACATTACCTGTTTCTTAGATATTATCACAGGCTGGTATCGAAAGATTTGTCTGCTGTGACGGAGCATGCTATTTTTCATAAAAACACTAAGAATGCTTCACGATTTATTTTTTAACTCATATGTTTCGATATATCAAAGATAATTACTTACTCCATGCAATGGATATATCATTTGCGTGTTACCTTCACTTCTGTTTGAAGTCCAATAACGCTAGGAGTGAAATCTATTGAAAACGGCGCCAGAGTATCAAACTCTAAAATGTACCATTTCTTTTTTAACTTTTTAATGGCATGATATAGTGACACGATAATATTAACATATGTTTTAAGCATAACTCTGAATGTATTAATGAGATATTAATGCATTGGGTCTTTTTAATTTTTTTAATAAAAAATGATATTAATATTTTTTGTCCGCTGTGACGGAGCATTTTCACAGTTCACATTTGCAACTGCTCCGTCACAGCGGACAGAAAAATTAAACATTATTTTTTATAAAAGAATTAAAAAGACCAAATACATCAACATCTCATTTATACCTTCATAGTTATGCTGAAACCATGTGTAAATATTATCGTGTCACTATATCGTGCCATTAGAAAGTTAAACAAGAAATGGTACATTTTGAAGTATGATACTCCGGCGCCATTTTCAATAGCTTTTCTTCCCATCGTAATTGGACTTCAAACAGAAGTGAAAGTTACCCGCAAATGATATATCCATTGCATGGTGTAAGTAATTTTGTATGGTATAACGAAACATATGAGTTAAAAAATAAATCGTGAAGTATTCTTAGTGTTTTTATGAAAAATAGCATGCTCCGTCACAGCGGACAAATATTTTGATACCAGCCTGTGATTATGACCTTGATTAGTAAGTAGTCATGATTTTAGAAGGCTCAATACATGATAGTATACATTTTAAGACATTTTTTGTTTCCAGGTGTTCAAAGCCTTTGAATCAAAGAAATCAGGAAGTCCTGTAAAAAATAAGGTAAGATACAATTTTGATCCATAGGTATAGATAAATTTATCCCATACTTGGACGTGTTACAGGTACATAAAGCCGGTTTGTAAAAACTTATATTTTCATCAGCGGGCAGATATATAGTATATCTGCCCGCTACATCACTATCGCCGCTCGCATATTTGCTCATAATTTGTAACGTTCACGTTATGACTGTAAATGACAATGGAGAAAACACAGACAATCGAGATCTGTTTGGTGGTTTAAAAAAGAGAAGGAGCATCCACTTATAGGCTATTAATCAATCAGAAATTTGAGAAAATAAATGTGGGAATATTTGAGAGAACAGGAAAATCCACCCACGGCCAAGAAAACAAAACTGGACATGAATATTCCAGAATATTTCCACGATTGAACAATGTTAACCAGATGACCAAGATTGGTATGGGATAAACATATTATCCTATAGTCGGTTCAGGATATTGGGATTATCCCTTGGCCTATATATCTGCCCGAGAGCTGAAGATTTATAGACTGTGCTTCATTCAATGACAGTGACATTTCTAGTGATCTGATTTACCCATATGACATTAATATATCCTGAATATTCATATGAGATTTAGAATCCATATATCACTCTGACATCACCATCTCAACTATTTCAGCAACATAAAGTCGTCATGTTCTGTTCAAACAATTTAAAACACAACATACACATGTTTATTGCATTTCAAGAATGAGAGGAGATTTTAGTAAAACATTTTACTAGATAATGTAACTATCATACTAACTATCATAGAGTGTTATGCAACATTTGGCTTGCATGTAGACCTCACGGTAGAACAGCTAGATAAGCAATCAGTTGAATGATGGTCCAGATGAGTTGCAGTAATACAAACTGTCATTAAATCATGCAGTTTGTTTTGATCCAATGATTGAGATATGTAGGCCATTTGTCTGGCTTTCCTATGGTACATGACTTGAAGCATGAATTATTAATGCAATGTTTCATGGTAGTTTTCCTCTTTATTTTCAGATATGGCAAGGTGATATGTTTAAATAATTTATGATAAATCATGAATAAAAAGTTTGCAATATAAATATCTCATTGTTTAATATGATAAGATTGTGAGGAGGTACATGTACATGTACATATCTCAAAATTATCTGAGCTGACATCTTGTTATTTGTATTTGAACTGTGTCCTGGAAATTCACCTTCAACTCCTGAATTTCAAATAAAGATAAAAATCACATCTATGGAATTAATTAATAGAAATGGAAATGTCCCGGCAATAATTGATTTCAATAAAAATTTCAATAATGTCCTGATTATGCTGATGTTTTCCTTATAATTCTAATAATAGTGCATGTTGCTTTAAATATACAAAATTGTTTCAAGCTGAATCCAGTGTAATGTTAATACCCTTTTGACATTATTAGATGGTTTGAAACCTCACAACTGTGGCATGAGTTAGAACCATGGTGCGATATGTAATTTAATATAAGCGTACTGTATATTTAATTTCAAGAAATATTCTACTACAATAATCCCAAAAGGCCCATATGTCAAGTTCAGATTCTGTACTTTCTAATCTAATAGTAAAACATCACAGTCCTTGGCAAAATACATACCACCCTACTTCATGCTGATTAATCAAAAAGAACAATTGTCAATTTCTATTCTTTTAAAATGAGGTTCATGCCACCTTGCTTTATTAATGTCATACTGTATCCTCGCATTTTCACTCTTGGTATTGGGAAAAGTTATGACGAGTCTACCATGACATATCCTGTAGCAAGAAACGATCATGAGGATAAGCTCCCTGCAAGAGGCAATTATTTCCCTAATCTACTGTAAAAATATTCCCATGGAATCTAGGTCCTTGGACCACATGCATTGAGGTCCCTGGGTTCACAGACCTCAGGACAGTACATGAGTACATGCATATGTATGCTATTTAGTTCAGTTATGTGTGATAATGAATGAAGTATTTTGAAGTATGCATATAGGGTATAGGGGGACTGGAGAGTATCCCTCGAGGCATGGACCACATACATATCGAGGTTCCTAGGTTCATTGGCTGCAGGAAGATATTACCAGTTCAATGAACATATTGTTAAATGAGAACAGTGTAACCCATGAGTACAAATGTAGGGGAGTTTAATTGGAAATTGGAGATTTAAAAAATTGGGGTCAGTCTGAAGTGAAAATTACACCCCCTCTTTTCAAAAGTAGGTCTGACATGTACTGTAAATATATAATCATCCTGTATAGTAAATATATAACCATCTTCTATGGAAAAACGATCCAGGGAGCTATCACCTCAGGGTTGTAGTACACTTGGATGAACCTCCTATATTGCAAGTCCTAAATGCAGAGTACCTCATAGAATAATGCATAAATATTCATTATTGGGCTTTGAAATTTGATAATAAATTATCAAAATATTTGTGCAACTGTGGGTAAAATCTTGATTATCTCGCCAAGTTGAACTGAAAATTTGCCAATAGAATTGTTTGCACTTAAATTAAGTACAAAGTCTTATAGATTTCAAATTGATTTTGAATTCCTGATTTCTGTCAAAATTGACCGTATTACTTTCATCAGTTCATTGTCAGTTGATCTTGTAAATCCATTTAGGTATGCAGGTCAGGTATCCCCGCTCTTGAATGTGAAATTCTGAGATTTCTATGTTTATAAACTCTTACAACTTTCAATTGGAAATATTATGTTTTCACTTATGTAGGGTGAATGTCAAGATAATCTCAAGTTAATCCACATTTGTAAATCCAATGATGTATTACCAGGACAAGGTCTGCTAATCTACTTTTGTAATCATAAAAATTCGCAAATCATTTTAAGAGATCAGTTTTGGGAGAAATTCCTAATGAGATTCTAGTCTAAAATACATTAACTTTTATAAATGATAAAATAATTGAGCATACTTATAGAATAACTGGAAATCACATTAGGTGCAGTTATATTTATTGAATTCAAATAAACCAGTTACCCCAATCTCATTTTTTGTTACATTGACATGATATTGATTTTCTAAAGAATTATAACGACTTTTTCTGGCACAATCAGAAGATATCCTGTTCTCCCAAGAAGATAATACTGGTGCTGTACCACCTTTTTCTCGCTTTTTTTTTCATTACAAGCATGAGAAAAGCGTGAATTCAGTAATACAAATGTACAAACATGTATTTGTGGAGTCTTTTAGAAAATCAAATGTTGCGTTTAATTATTTTCAAGGAAAGCAAGGGAAAAATAACAAAATTTCACTTTAAATAATAAAGTAAGGTACAACTTCATAACTTCAAAAATGGTCAGTAAAGATTATCATTATGGCCAATAAAGATTATTGTAATGAAATATTTAGGCGCGTGCCATTCCAAGATTAAGCTGAAATAAATATGTTATCTGAAAACAGATTAGAGAAGTAAAATATGAAGTGTTTACATTTTCCCTCCTCATGAGCAGGTTAATGTGTTTTCAGACATTTTTTATTGTACCCTTGGGTGCTATATTGCAACCAGTTTGCCGGGTGAGTGGGTGGCAATGCAAACATGTTACTTCATTGTAGTTTTCAAGGAATACTATATGATTGATTTCAGGTAGAGGCGTAGCCAGCTTTCAGTCAGGGGGGGGGGGTGCGATCGCCAAAATAAATTTGATTTTCAGTCAGGGGGGTGGGGTGCGATTGTGACATATAGAAGGCAAAAAAAAAGATTTATTTGGAATTTTACAAAAATTGATGCAACTTCCTTCAAAATTGAGCTAGAAGCTTCAAATAAAAATCATTTTATTTTTATTGGTTATGGGGGGGGGGGGGGTCATATGCATGACCGCAGATTTTAAGGCAACCATTTAACCCATTGTAAATAATGGGCTGCATAATGGTTCTCAAAAATTGATATATTTTAAAAAATGGGTTGCATAAAATCTGAATGAATTCTACATAATGGCTTGCAAAAAATACTCATACAACTCAAAGGCACAATATTATTCACATATGTATCTTGTTTTTGAGCTGGATAGCTGTAATTGTAAATTTACATTTCCCAGGATCAGACATTGACATAGAAGATTTTTATTTATGTGTTTACAGCTAGTTATGTTTCCACCATACGTATTTTGTCAGTGTTATTTAGTAAAATTCCAAGCCTTTAGATATAGCAATTTGATTTGTTTGTTTTTCAGAAATTTGATTTCCCAATGTTTTGGTGTGCAAAATAATATAATACATCATCTTATTGTCAATTAGTGTGCCTTGATAATGACCATTATAAAAAACCATATAACCTTAGTTACACCAAAGCAGGCCCATAGTCACTTTTGACAAAATCACTTGAAAAGTGCTCAGAACGGTGAAAAACTGCATGATTTTGAAAGAAGTTTCTCCCCCTGGCTGTGGGCCTGCTAGGGCACAGGGTTATACAGCGTTAGCTAGATTTATGATATCATTGATATCATAGGTTGTACTTGTAAGCACCACTGTCACACTACCCTACCATGTGACCACATTTAAAAAGGAAACAGGGTACAGTTAAGTTGCAAATAGAGCAGGTATTCTCTATCTTTGTCCATTAGGCTCGTCTGGTAATAATACGTTGCAAACTGCTCGATGAATCCATACAATTTATAGTAGAACACTTGGAATATATGTAAAATCTAGTATACCTTCAGCACTATAGAAATAAACAACTGTCCTCCATTTGCAACTTCGCTGTAGCCTGTATTTCTTTTAAAGGAATACAGGATACAGTATGGGGGTACAGTGGTGTGACTGTTTTTAAATTAAATATAGGATTACATGTAAGTTACTGTAAATATTGCTTCATGATATGAGCCTGGCCATAGAAAAACCGGTCTTATCACAAAAATTTAAATTGTGCTACAGAGCCAAATGTGTGCCCAAGATTAAGAAGAAAATGTGCTAAATTAGGATCCAACTTTTTGGCTTATATATGCATGGAAAAATTGTTAAGACACAAGTCATGGCTCATTTGAAAGGTCTTTTTGTGCTTTTTAAGATAAACAAAAAAATCAAAATATTGAAAAATCTGTGATAAGACCCCTTTTCCTGTGGCCTGGCTCATATAATGAATTTGGCCAATATATCCTTGCTTGCTTGGTGTAAGAATAATGTGTGAGGGTTTTATTTGAAAGGTCTATTCTATATTTTGAATCAAACTTGTGCTTCAAGTACATATACATTAGAAGTACATTGTACTAAATATTATAATATCTGTACTTGCAGGGCTCCAAACGTAAATCAGAGAAAACTCTGAATACTGGTGGAACAAAGTCTAAGCAACTAGCGATGGACATGTTTTTTAAACCAAAGTCCAAGACTTGATACTACAGCAAAAATGATAGGAGAGCAGGACTTAACTCAGATGTCATTCCAACTCAGGCGTTTTAATTGATGGATTGTTGAAAAGGAACTTAAGATATATACTGTACTTACAATAACAATATATTTTATAAATGTTCGTCAATGCCCAGTGAAATCTGAAAATGGTGACTTGGAGACTTATTGCCTTAGATGGCATGTTAAATAATATATGTCACTATCATTTAGATAATAAATATACATAAATGAGCATGTATTTTACCAGATGGTCTCTAGTGGCCAGTTCAGTGAAAGTTCAAATTATTAAATTTAGCATTTTATTCAAGCATTTTATATTAGGTTCCACCAAGTTTAAGAATTTATGTCACTTGTGTGGATGCTGTTACAGTTATAATAGGGTTATTTTCCATTTTATTAGGTTATCCAACATTTGCACAATTCTCATAACCGGGGACCACAATATTTTGCTATAAGAGAATAGAAGTGTAAAAATAGAGCACACGCTTATCGGATTAGCAAGGTATTATGGTATATGCGCCATTGTCTAGCAAGGTATTATGGTATATGCGCCATTGTCTTTTGTTGAACTTTGTTATGGATAAGAGGGCTTGAATTTGTATGAGAATAATGTGTAATTCACTTTTTACTACAATACCATATAAGCGAATTGACCGTATTAACTACTATATAGAATGTTACATTATACTTTGGCACGTGCCTAGTTGACAGCTAGAACTTAATGGATAAACAGATTATTAGATAATCCGGTTCATCATTTGTGAATGATGATTCGATTGAAGTAAGCAAATTATGTGAACTGGGTGCAATTGGTTAAAGGTTAATTTCAGATAGGGTAGCTGGAACCTGATATTCTCCAAAATATTTACACAAATTCTGAAAAATATTTAAAACTTTATTTGCATGTGTGATGTATTTGTTTATGTGTTCTTACAATTTCTTACCAAGTTTGACAGTAGTCAACTTCCGATGCAGTCAGACAATTAAAACTTATTTGTACAAAATTCAAAATTGTTTTCTTGACCCTATTGTATAGGTGTTATTCAAGTGGACGAAATACCCCGTTTTGAGTGATTTGAACTTGAATCCAGTGAATTGACGTCATTTGATAATCCCTTGTCCACAATTGTGTAAATCTGGCCAATAACATTGTACGTGAACTTAAAGTATGATATGAGATTACCATTTGAGACCTTGATTTAGCGGTCAGTTATTATAAAGCAATGTTTAACTCAGTACAAACTGTTACATTGCCAATATAAACTGGAAGTCTCAATGTCAGTGGTTTCTGGGTGATAAAGCAACTTGTACTTCATGTACCAGCTTATGTTTGACTATTTTATTACAAGTTGAAGTCATTATTTATTGCATTAATAACAGTGCTTGGAAATTGAGTTCAAGGCAAAGTTTCCATAAAAAATGAATAAAATATAACTTATTGCGTCATTGGCAATGAGCTTGAACCATAGAAAACATTATAATATTTATCTTAAACAAGTCAAATTCTTTACTTCAGAGAATATTTTTAATTTATTGAGACTTTCGACTAATATCCCTTAGTCTTTTTCAAAATATAACAGCATTAACACACTTCTACTGATGCTGTTATATTTTGAAAAAGACTAAGGGATATTAGTCGAAAGTCTCAATAAATTAAAAATATTCTCTGAAGTAAAGAATTTGACTTGTTTCTGATATATTAACCAGAGAGATGAACTTACATAGAAATATTTATCTTGTCCTCAAGCACCTTCATATGCGCCATTGTTACTATAACTATATAGATTAACTGCTAATTAGGAAATGATTTATGAGTTTTCACTGGGATACAACATTATTAATTGGACTTGCTTATTATACCAGCTCTTTGAAGGAGTCGTGAAATTAAAGGCAAACTCATAGATATTAGGTGTGCCTATCTTGCAAGCAATGTGAATTATTGACCTACCAATATATTCTGTACCATTTAAAATGTAATTTCTTCCAAAAGATACTATGAGCACAAAATATTCTTAAATTGTAACAATGTTTTAGACAGGTTGGTCATTGTATATGATTTCTGGCTTTCAATCTTTCATAATGAAAACTATATGATGATGCGTTACTTATAATGATGAAAATGAACACATGTAGAGGATAATGTATATACGGTATAAGAATGTTATGAAATTTCAAAATGAAGAATGTAACATTTATGTGAGCATACTATATTTTCATTCTTTCAGATGATTGTAACTCATATGCATTAGTTAATGAACAACTATATTTTAAACACTAATAGGATATAGCAGCTAGTAGGAATGAAGTGGAGAAGTTGGGGCACTCTGTAAATGGTACCACCATGTTTGCAAAATTATAGGTTATTAGTAGGACTGACTAATTTTAGACGGGGATAATTAGAATTAATGCTGAGGGTTAGTAAAATAACAAACTTTATTTAGATATCCTGTTCACATAATATCCCAAAATAATTATTTATGCCTCATTCTGTCTGGTACCTATTCACACTCAATGTTCTATAATCAGATGACTTTTACATATATTTGGAATCAAAGTAAATGATATTATGTGCTTGATTTGTTTGATGGTTTGTTATGGGAAAAAATAAAACTATACTTGTACAGAAAAAACCTGTGTATCTGAACACCTGGCTAATCTGAACGCTTTTAGGCAGTCCCAAATCGTGTTCAGATTAGACAGGTTTTACCGGACATGTCTTTGTATTACATGAGTTAATCACATTATATGGGAATATATTTGTTGCGTATTTAAGTTCTTTCCATTTATCAAAGTTGGGAACAATGACCATCCAATATAATACAGCGCACAGTTGTTGTTTCTCATCATTTTTATAAGTCAATGATTTGATGATTTGGGTCTTCATGGGGTTTCTGCAGTCAATGATGAAGGCTGCTGTTTGTTGACGTCAATAATCCAGGCCATCCCTGTTACATCTTGGCAAATTATGGAATCCTGTTTTGCATTTATTTAATATCTATAAACAATAAAAGTAAATAATAAATTTTAAAGTGTGGTATAATTTTGAATATTTTTTATCACTTTATTGTAGTTTATGCCACCTGTATGGGTAAACTAAGTGAAATTTATATATTTAGATTTTATATGTATAGATAAAGAATATCACGGGTGTACAAACTAAATATTATATAAGAATATATATACACAGTATTTGTTGATATTTTTACATAAAATAAATAAATATTAACTTCAATCATAAAAATAATATGTTTAATGTATTATGACATATCGGGCAGAATGAACTTAAATTTTCTCAGTAGATCATAAAGTGAGGCCATCTATGTTTTAGTGGTTCCTTGATTATTCTTCAATATTCTATTCTTTATTTTATAATTTTCTCTAAAACTTGAGGTTGAGGGATGAAAATGACGATGCCTCTGGTTCAAGATATAGTACATTCTCCTCCCAGTTGCAACCTCGACTCCCACGGGTTAGTTAATATCACCAAGCGTTTGGAGGACAGTGTATATGTACAATTTGATGCCTTTATTGGCATATTGATATGCATCAAGTGTTAACGTGTTAAATATAATTTGTGATACATAATATAGGAATTTTAAAAGGTTTTATTTTAATTGTAGTGTTAAGTTAAGGTGTAAACTCCATCACTCAAGACATTTTGATACTCGCCCAATACCATAGTCAACGTGTTGGATGCACGACATAGTAAACTTAAAATAATATAATATTTGGGTATACAGTAAAACCTGTATATCTGAACACCTCTCTTATCTGAACATCTTTCAATGTGATTGTGAACACCCTTTCTTTGTCATAATTTTGTTACATCCCATTGCCTCGCATATTGCATGTACACGGTGGTGTATTAGAAACATTGAAATATGAACACCTGGTAATCCGAAAACTGGGTGAACAGTTGCGTTCGGATCAGAAAGATATACTGTTTGTAAATATACATTAACCAAATATTTTAATAGGCATATTTGAAGTGTTTAAAAGATATTTTAAAATGGATATACCAATTGAAAAGATACATTGGGGTCAAGTATTTATTTTGTAATTAAATTATCTAAAGTGTTGATGAAAAATGTCTACACAGTTAGAAACACAATTTAGGTAAAATGCTTCTAACAATTTTCATCCAGCATACAAGTTCTTAAAATACAGATGGAGCATATTTATTTTGATAAAGATTTTTGAATCATGTTTTTACCAGAGAAAACTATTTGTGTACTAAAGTTAAATAATAATGTATAAAAACCAACCGGTCACGGTTCATTTGTTATCTCGTATAAAATATATGACACGTAAAATGAGAAAGAACCAGGATAAACCGAAGCACATATTGATAACCAATCCGGCTTTTTATCTCTGCCTGGGGATGGGTAAAATCTTCAAAATATTAATGAAAAGATACATTCCTATTTGATTATATAAATCAGCTGTTATCTTATGTATAAGAACGTTGGCCTCTTTTACATTATTTCTGACAGAAAAGTCATTTCACCAGAAAAAACACTTGTGTATCACGTAGATCGGCTATTTATGACTGATAGGACTATTTCCTCTCGTGAAGTATGGAATTCGAACACAAACTTTTTCATGAATTAGGTCAAAATTGTGACCCTGCCTCCTTATTTACCTGAATCTGCACATGTTTTGAAAAACAAGTTTTTTCACCTTTAGGCGGCTGGTTTTAATCAGAAACTAAAGGAACAGTTGTTTTAGTATAGGTTTGGATCTAAGGTCAGACAGACAGAGATGGGCTATCTCTTTCAATACCTCGCAAAACCATTTTAAGCATAACTGGTGGTAATCGACATCATTATACTCATCCGATATCATTGTACACTGATTTGAATCATAATTTTGCCGTGACATCATTACGTTTGCGATCAAGAAATTCAACTTCAGTGCTTGTGTGACTTCTGCATGTGCCCAAACTTGGAAACTCATGACTAGTATTTTCGCAGAAAGGGAACTAACGCGATTCTTCAAGTTCACTAGCCCAATCTCATGTTTTTAGCTACGGTATCTAGTTTATCGTGTTGAGGGGAAGGTTATTTTCTGCAACCTTTTTATTGAGGAATTCCACAGATAGATTGTTGGATTCTTATTTCACCAGAAAGAAAAGTGATTTTTGTTTTCGCATATGGCGTCCACTTTCCGAATGTCTGAATACTATGGCAGTCAATGACCTTCGAGCTGATGCCGCTCGGTCATGTCAATGACCGCGTACATTCATGTTTTTTTTAACATTTTCCATTTCTCTGATCATTGCAATAAGTTTATATTCGGAAATTGAATCACTGCAATAATTGGTAAGATATACATGTACCAATATATATAATACGCAATTATGATATTTCTTGTCGGAACTAATCAAGACGCAATGGTACTAAATGAAGTGAAAGATCTATTCGTTTCTTTTTAATTCTACCTGTCTCGTTAATCATTTTGAGAATGAAATCTAGGAATTAAGTTTTATTCTCGTTCACATGTGTTTTTTCGCAGTCTCTCTTTAATAAAAAGGTCTTATTTAGTACTTTTACGTTGCGAAATATTTTTCGGCAAAAAATCGAAGGATTAAAAACCTTAAATGATATATTGAATGATGAAATTATTGTAATGCTAGATCTAGATTAGGTATCAATAAGATAGCGAGACATTAAAAACATTCACTCATACTGACAGTTTGCTTCTATTTTAAAGCTAGCAGAGGACACTAATCCTTGTTGCACTGAACTAAGTGCATTTCGATCGCAGAAATGTAGTATTTATTTGACTGGAAATGGTTGGATTACAAAGTACATATAGCGGATATACCCGGGGCAGTTTCCCACACGGGGAGCTAGTAAATCTGTAAATATTTGCACCGGGCACGTCATGACAGAGCATTACACCGCTTCCTTAAAACAGTTGTAACCCCCTCTGATGATCTCCAACTGCAACATTGATTCATTGCGCCTCTCCAGCGTGTAATTGTTGTGATAAAACACAATGAAAGCCCCATACAAAGGGCCCATTTCGTGCTAAGAGTTGCATTTATAGTTTTACGGTTCTTTCCGTGGGTCTACATACGTAAGTTCTATTGTTAAAAGTTCCAATGGCTGAGAAGAAATGTCAATATTATGGTACATGTATGGAAGAACTGAAAATGCACCGAACTTCTCGAAAGTGTACTTGGTGTGATCGGGTATCACTGACATTGTCGATTGTAGTTATATATCATGGAGTTCTCTCAGCTTTGTCTCACACGATACTACGGACAAAGGATGATGAATCTAGAATACATAAAGCCAAAAACTCTCTAGATGATTTATTTTCGAATAAGCTAGACAAGCTTCTCGATACCTGATATCTTACTTATTAAAATCTTGATATCATCATCAATGAAATCCCAGAGGTGTAAGGTCATAGTAAAGATATTCTTTGGATATCAGGGTAGGAGTAGGAACGGTCCCCGGTTTATCAGTTTTGCCCCTGACGCTCTACTCGCGATCAATTTACAATTATGATACCATTATACCTTGGATGGTAAGCCACTGATTGATATTGGAGGTCCATTATCGTAATTGTTTAATTAATGATAATTAATATATAATTATCATTATTAATGATATCCTGTATTTTATGTAAATACCTTATTGTGGTATTGGGGTTTTAATTTAATTTTTTTCTTGCAACCGATCTGCTCAGTGTCATGTTGTCAGAGCTTCACTTGCACTTGACAAATAGTTCAATTAGGTACTATAAATATTTTACAAGCAATTTAATTTTGTTTCAATTTCAAAACAAACGTGATCTACCAGGTGTAATGAAAATAATCCAGGTAAGTCCAATACCTTGCCAGAACTCCCACCTGATTGGCTGAATGCAAATCCTACAGGTGCATTTGCATTAAGAAGTCGACAGGTACATTTAACGGGTATATAAGAAAGACTGAAGCTTAGCTGCTCAGAACAAATCTTGCTTTTAGCAGAGAAACAACGATAACGAAATTTGAAACAAACCGAGCCGTTAGAAGCACTTCAACATTTTGCTGATAGCGTATCAATAGATTGTATTTTAAGAGCAGTTTTATTAAAGTGTCATCACACCTTTAATAAATCATTGTGGACCGACTGTACGTGAGCTTTCAAAGCAAAGTGGAATAAAATACATACGTTGTTAGATTACAAACTGATTGCTCACGGACTTTGTGTTACACCTTTATCGTATACTTCAATACGGGAGCTTGAATGTAAAAATATAAGATAACACATTTCTCGAGAAGGAAGGGATGCAGTAAACAACAACCAATTTAACACTGACACTTGGTTACAAGCCAGAGTTTAATAGCTCACTGTGGTAACATCAGTGAAGTTGTATTTTAGCAGACTCATCGCTAAATTAGGACAGTCAATTACGAATTAGACGCAGTATCGTAACAGTTACCGGCAAACCATTAACATAACTTGTTGGTTAGCAGAAGTTTCCGTAGTTTACCACCAATTAACATTACACTCGGATACGTTCAACGTGCACTCAACAAGATGACAGACGTGGATGCCAGAGAACGTTATGAGTCCGCAATAGAACTCTCAAACGCATGCAGAGAGTTTTACAAACGCAGAGAGAGCCAATTCAGAGTGATCAAGAAAGCTGTAAAGCATGGAGAAACCCCTGTCCCAAAGACTTCCCTCGAGTGCAAAATGCTGCAATTAAAGAATGAAATGGTGAGTACCTCTATTGATGGTTTAAACCTTACAAATGATTTCACAATTGTGCAAAGTATTTTAAGTTCTTAGATAGTATATTCCTTTGAAGGGAGATAGAATGCTGATTTCGTAAATCACATGTTCATCCCTTCTGGGATCTAATCAATTAAACGATTATCTAAATCTGTTTTTATATATGATTTCAGTCTTCATTGATGGACTTGGATCTTTCCCTCATGAAACAACTTCTGACACTTAACGAATCCATTGAAGATCTCAAAGAGAATCCAATTTACGGTTCCGAGGGGTCGCTGGGGAGCTGCTGTAGCGAAAGCAGTGAGAGCCTTTGGCCTAACCAAGGTTCTGATGACGAAGCAGATGATGATGACATTGACGCAGACGACATATGCCAAAAATCGTCGTCTGCTGTTGAACAATACCCGGATGAAGTTTTTGAAACTGAAAAGGAGGGACTTCATAGATTTGTAACAGGATCACCGACATGTGATTACCCAATTCCAAAACGGAGGCTAAGCAAAACTGACTCTGGGATCTCTGTGTGCTCTGAAGGAGAGGATAGTTACATCACGTTTGATTTCGATAACACAAATCAACAACAAACCAGAAATGACAATACCGTGTTTGCCACCATTCCAAGACAAAATAAACCCAATACTCTGAAAACTGTCACCATAAACCCAACTGCAATAGAATTCGTACCAAGAGTGCCAACGAGTAAACCTAAGAAGCCAACTAGTATCATTAAAGCCAGTGGTACACAAGTACAAACTGACATCACGGACTTTAACACTAAAGACATTACAAGGAACAATCCATTGAGAAAAAATCTACCAATTAAAATTCACCATAAAAAACAAGGGTCGTTTGACTCAGGTATACACGAGCCTGAATTTGATGAGCTCAAAGAAATCATGGTTTAATTGTTCCTGATCATTTGACAAGTTGATAAAATGCTTATAAACACGACAAAATGCAAAAGGCTTGTACTACAAGTAGACTTTAAAATAGTAGTATTAGTATTTATTTATTATTAATTTGTAATATGTTAAAATGTGATAAATGAATTCAAGTCAATTGAAATGTTCAAGTAAGACTCTCCAACTAACAAAACATTTGATCTTTAAATATTAACCAATTTATGCATGTCTGTAGATTACACGAACAGTCAATGACTGCAAATTGTAACAAATATATATATACGAGTAAATTGATTAATTAATAAATGACAAAATATCAAAAAATGATATGAAACACAAATCTTAATCTCATGTTTGTTTGAATTAATTAAAATCAATTAGCATTAGGGTGTCAGTTTTGTGCCAGGACATTCATAGAAAGCCATATTCATAATTTTTAAGGGATTGAGGGTCAAGTCTTTCTCCACCACATTTGGACATATTTCCAACCTCTCGCTATCGTTTTCCTTTAACTGTCCAAAACAACTTACAGGAAGCATGCACCATGGATTTGAAAAACATACCTCCAAAAGTCCAAAAGGATGGCGACATTCACGTACGTTTCCGACCTATTGTAATTAGGTTTCAAACATGTGTACGACATAATTTTTAGTTTTTAAATACCGGTAAGATGCCAGTGTTTTTGGTAACTGGAATTTTTTCTGTTTTAGCGCGACATCTATCATAGTAGTAGAAACTATTTTACACGAAAAAATCTTTCTTATTCCATACTTTATTCAATGGGGCCTATTAGGAATCCCCCCGACCTAAAAGTAACATTTTCAAAGTAGATAAACACTTTTTAAAACCACATTCTATTTGTAAGTTTACATGTAGATTTCAAAAATGATGTCACTTTGACTGAATTTTGAATTTTTACTGACTTAAATCATGATCATTTCTACTCGCATCTAGTCTATTGAAATAGCTGATTGTACGGATCAAAGCAATGCAACACGACAGCGTAGCACATGTTGGTGACAACTCAGGCATCCATCATATCATGACAACAATGAATATCAAGTTATTCCCTGGGAGTTATTCATACCTAATCGTTAAATATTGGCACTACATGTAAATATGGAATCTTTATTTAAGGTTGTATCTATAATATCACTTGGAATATGTATTTTTATCAGTATGAATATCATTAGAATAAGTTTGGTTAATTTTAAATCAGAAAACCTTGGTTTACAGTTGCCGGAGATAAAACACACTGGAATGAAGCCAAAATGCAGCCTCGAATTTTTGAAATTTTTTTTTTGAAGAATGGAGAATTCTACTACTCAGGAGTGTGGAGTGATTTGTCATGGATTCCGAAGAATTGTGTTAAGACACTTATCGATATACCTAGAATGTTAAAGAACAACAATCTCAGCAGTATACTTATCCTAGGAGATTCAACCATCTGGCACTACAAAGCACAAGTGCCGAACAACTTTACAATATGTTCCATGCGAACAATCCCCAACATCACAGGAGTTCATATTCAATGAATATCTCCTGCAACTTAAGGCGCATGAGGTTTACCCTCAATTGATATTGCTTGTTGCAAATCATCACGAAACACGCATGAGAGATGTTGCAAATTTTAGACGTACATTTACCTGGTTTTTGGATGTTGTTAATAACAGCATAAAAAGTCATCCTGAGACTCGAGTTATATGGCTAGAACCAACATTTGTCGATGAATCCAAACGGGAAAATCCTGACGTTAAACATCGACAGTTTAAAAATGTTGCGTTGTATAACGTGGCTAAGAAACTATTGCTGCCATACTTTTCAGAACAATATCCAAGATTTTGGCCATTTTACGGTGTGATGAAAATAAGTGAGGGAAGACCTGATTGGAACCGGGATGGAATTCACTTTGATATGAAATACTACGACGCTATGCAGGGGCGGATCTGGGAACCAACAAGGGGGGGGCCCAAATTTGTGGTCTGTGAAAAAAACGTCCGCGCTTGCGCGGAAAAAAATTTTGGGCCCTAAAACCCCAAAAGTGGGCCCAAATTTTGAAATTTTGAGGCCCATTTCCTTCAAAATTTGGCCTTAAATTAAAAAATAAGGCCTTAGAAGGCCAATTTATGACCAAAAAGGCCTACTTTTTGGGGCCTTAAAGCCTTTTTTGGCTCAAAATTTTTTTTGGGCACAATTTTTTTTTCTCTGGGCCCACCCAAGGGGGGGGGCCCGGGCCCCTGGGCCCCCCCCCCCAGATCCGCCAGTGCTATGATCAACCTACTGATTGAAGCGCTTCGAGAATGGTTAGCCATGGTAGTCTTAGATTGTTTCAAACACTGCTTTCGGAAATGCTTTGTAGGACAACCATATACTTAATAATATTCAATAATATGGAAACAATAATATAATTGTAAAGGCAGTGCAGGGGACGATTTGTGGAGTCCGTTTCGAAAGGAATTGTCACAAAGGAGTGGTATCGATATGGTGAACTTAGCTACACTTGTGTAGATCTGTGGCTCATTGTTCACATGTTTTTGAAAACAAAAGTACGTTTGGAATAAATAATCTTCTCAAAGCAATTTGCATTGCTTGAAATGCAAAGAAAATATTGTAACAAAATTTTGAATTTTTTATTTTTGATTTAGTACTGTGTACTCGTTATTAGACATTCATTACACTTGATTTGTGGTTCACATGTGAGATCATTAAGATCGTAACGTGTAGCAATGTTTGCAGTACTTTAGTTGTAGTTACAGGGGTGAAATAGCGTTTTCATGTCATCGAATTGGGATTTAATTTATGTTGATCGGGTAGTCGATCGGGTACTTTAAATGGAGGTCACTTTTTGGAATTTACTTCCTGCTTCTTATTCTATCAAACCGAAGTAAAACTAGAGTAAGTAGCGATCAATTACAGTTAGATTTATTAAGTTCCAATTATTATCTTGTTGTGTGAGCAATATTAAAGCGGGATATGGCGTCAATAACTTGTTATTTAGCTTTGAAATCTTGTCCAAAAAGTGATGACGTCACCGGGCCTATAAAAGTATTTCGCCGATGTAAACTCGGCAGATTACAGCAAGCTTTTGACTGGGACAGAGCTCCGTTCGAAATATTTTGTGATTTCTGACAATTTTGATTTTGTTGGACTTTGACATTTTCTGTACATGATAACTTCGACCATGGGCTTCTAGTTGAAAGCCCATGCTTCGACTTAGAATATTTCTGACTGGCACTTGGGAATATTCTTTGACTTTGTTTCTGTTCACATGTACCTGGCTGTAGACGAATCTACTTGAGGTTAAACTCAGACAAAGTCAATTTTGTTGGACTTATGCATTTTATCTGTAGATAATAACTTGGACTTGGAATATTTTCATACTTTGAAATATTCTTTGACTTTGTTTCGTGATACATCTACCTAGTTGGACTTGTACATTTTGCTGTAGATGATAACTTGGACTTAGAATATTCTAATCATTTTCAATATTCTTCGACTTTGTTTCGTGATACATCTACCTGGAGTTGGACTTGTACATTTTTCTGTAGATGCTAACTTGGACTTAGAATATTTTAATCATTTTTAATATTCTTTGACTTTGTTCTGTGATACATCTACCTGAAGTTGGACTTGTATATTTTGCTGTGGATGCTAACTTGGACTTAGAATATTTTAATCATTTTCAATATTCTTTGACTTTGTTCTGTGATACATCTACCTGGAGTTGGACTTGTACATTTTTCTGTGGATGCTAACTTGGATTCAGCCGGAGGAGGCTACCTGAGGGAGAAGAGGATCCACTGGAGTAAGCCGGAAGAGGCTACCTGAGGGAGACGTTCCAGTTGACTTTGTCGAACGGACTTCCTGAAGAAGGTGATCCATTGGACTTCCTGAGGAAGGTGATCCATTGGACTTAGCCGGAGGAGGCTACCTGAGGGAGAAGAGGATCAACTGGACTTAGCCGGAGGAGGCTACCTGAGGGAGAAGAGGATCCACTGGACTTAGCCGGAGGAGGCTACTTGAGGGAGAAGACGTTCCAGTTGACTCTGTCTAACGGACTTCCTTAGGAAGGCGATCCATTGGACTTAGCCAGAGGCTACCTGAGGGAGAAGAGGATCCACTGGACTTAGCTGAAGAGGCTACCTGAGGGAGAAGAGGATCCATTGGACTTAGCCAGAGGCTACCTGAGGGAGAAGAGGATCCATTGGACTTAGCCAGAGGAGGCTACCTGAGGGAGAAGAGGATCCACTGGACTAAGCTGAAGAGGCTACCTGAGGGAGAAGACGTTCCAGTTGACTTTGTCGAACGGACTCACTGAGGCTGGGTCTTTATTTCAGCGACTGTCGAACGGACTTCCTTAGGAAGGCGATCCATTGGACTTAGCCAGAGGAGGCTACCTGAGGGAGAAGAGGATCCACTGGACTTAGCTGAAGAGGCTACCTGAGGGAGAAGAGGATCCATTGGACTTAGCTAGAGGCTACCTGAGGGAGAAGAGGATCCATTGGACTTAGCCAGAGGAGGCTACCTGAGGGAGAAGAGGATCCACTGGACTTAGCTGAAGCGGCTACCTGAGGAAGAAGACGTTCCAGTTGACTTTGTCGAACGGACTCACTGAGGCTGGGTCTTTATTTCAGCGACTTTGTCGAACGGACTTCCTTAGGAAGGTGATCCATTGGACTTAGCCAGAGGAGGCTACCTGAGGGAGAAGAGGATCCATTGGACTTAGCCAGAGGAGGCTACCTGAGGGAGAAGAGGATCCATTGGACTTAGCCAGAGGCTACCTGAGGGAGAAGAGGATCCATTGGATTAAGCTGAAGAGGCTACCTGAGGGAGAAGACGTTCCAGTTGACTTTGTCGAACGGACTCACTGAGGCTGGGTCTTTATTTCAGCGACTGTCGAACGGACTTCCTTAGGAAGGCGATCCATTGGACTTAGCCAGAGGAGGCTACCTGAGGGAGAAGAGGATCCACTGGACTTAGCTGAATAGGCTACCTGAGGGAGAAGAGGATCCACTGGACTTAGCTGAAGAGGCTACCTGAGGGAGAAGACGCTCCAGTTGACTTTGTCGAACGGACTCACTGAGGCTGGGTCTTTATTTCAGCGACTTTGTCGAACGGACTTCCTTAGGAAGGTGATCCATTGGACTTAGCCAGAGGAGGCTACCTGAGGGAGAAGAGGATCCATTGGACTTAGCCAGAGGAGGCTGCCTGAGGGAGAAGAGGATCCACTGGACTTAGCTGAAGAGGCTACCTGAGGGAGAAGAGGATCCATTGGACTTAGCCAGAGGAGGCTACCTGAGGGAGAAGAGGATCCACTGGACTTAGCTGAAGAGGCTACCTGAGGGAGAAGACGTTCCAGTTGACTTTGTCGAACGGACTCACTGAGGCTGGGTCTTTATTTCAGCGACTGTCGAACGGACTTCCTTAGGAAGGCGATCCATTAGACTTAGCCAGAGGCTACCTGAGGGAGAAGAGGATCCACTGGACTTAGCTGAAGAGGCTACCTGAGGGAGAAGAGGATCCATTGGACTTAGCCAGAGGCTACCTGAGGGAGAAGAGGATCCATTGGACTTAGCCAGAGGAGGCTACCTGAGGGAGAAGAGGATCCACTGGACTAAGCTGAAGAGGCTACCTGAGGGAGAAGACGTTCCAGTTGACTTTGTCGAACGGACTCACTGAGGCTGGGTCTTTATTTCAGCGACTGTCGAACGGACTTCCTTAGGAAGGCGATCCATTGGACTTAGCCAGAGGAGGCTACCTGAGGGAGAAGAGGATCCACTGGACTTAGCTGAAGAGGCTACCTGAGGGAGAAGACGTTCCAGTTGACTTTGTCGAACGGACTCACTGAGGCTGGGTCTTTATTTCGGCGACTTTGTCGAACGGACTTCCTTAGGAAGGTGATCCATTGGACTTAGCCAGAGGAGGCTACCTGAGGGAGAAGAGGATCCATTGGACTTAGCCAGAGGAGGCTACCTGAGGGAGAAGAGGATCCACTGGACTTAGCTGAAGAGGCTACCTGAGGGAGAAGAGGATCCATTGGACTTAGCTAGAGGCTACCTGAGGGAGAAGAGGATCCATTGGACTTAGCCAGAGGAGGCTACCTGAGGGAGAAGAGGATCCACTGGACTTAGCTGAAGCTGCTACCTGAGGAAGAAGACGTTCCAGTTGACTTTGTCGAACGGACTCACTGAGGCTGGGTCTTTATTTCAGCGACTGTCGAACGGACTTCCTTAGGAAGGCGATCCATTGGACTTAGCCAGAGGAGGCTACCTGAGGGAGAAGAGGATCCACTGGACTTAGCTGAAGAGGCTACCTGAGGGAGAAGAGGATCCACTGGACTAAGCTGAAGAGGCTACCTGAGGGAGAAGACGTTCCAGTTGACTTTGTCGAACGGACTCACTGAGGCTGGGTCTTTATTTCAGCGACTGTTGAACGGACTTCCTTAGGAAGGCAATCCATTGGACTTAGCCAGAGGAGGCTACCTGAGGGAGAAGAGGATCCACTGGACTTAGCTGAATAGGCTACCTGAGGGAGAAGAGGATCCACTGGACTTAGCTGAAGAGGCTACCTGAGGGAGAAGACGTTCCAGTTGACTTTGTCGAACGGACTCACTGAGGCTGGGTCTTTATTTCAGCGACTTTGTCGAACGGACTTCCTTAGGAAGGTGATCCATTGGACTTAGCCAGAGGAGGCTACCTGAGGGAGAAGAGGATCCATTTGACTTAGCCAGAGGAGGCTACCTGAGGGAGAAGAGGATCCACTGGACTTAGCTGAAGAGGCTACCTGAGGGAGAAGAGGATCCATTGGACTTAGCCAGAGGCTACCTGAGGGAGAAGAGGATCCATTGGACTAAGCTGAAGAGGCTACCTGAGGGAGAAGACGTTCCAGTTGACTTTGTCGAACGGACTCACTGAGGCTGGGTCTTTATTTCAGCGACTTTGTCGAACGGACTTCCTTAGGAAGGTGATCCATTGGACTTAGCCAGAGGCTACCTGAGGGAGAAGAGGATCCATTGGACTTAGCCAGAGGAGGCTACCTGAGGGAGAAGAGGATCCACTGGACTCAGCCAGAAGAGGCTACCCTGTGAAGAAGACAATCCATTTGAAGTATTACTGCACGAGACAAGATACTGGTCCTTGTATGGAACTGGATGTTCTTTTCATCGCTTTGATTGTGGGCAGCATATCGTTTGTACTCCTTTGTTTGATGTTTGTAATTTGCACTCGTGTTTGCATTACCACTACAGACGAAGAATCTAATGATCAATCTGCTCCAGTACCAACTAGACAAATTCCAGTGTTGCAGTCATCGCTTGGCTTCAGCCTGAGTACAGTGAACTTTGTGTGACTTCGATCCAATCCCACAATTGATGCTTATGTTTGGACTTACAGTGAATAATAATAACAACAACAACGAACATTGGTTCTATTCCAGTTTATTACAAGGACATTTTGCTATTTGATGTACACAATTTTGGGCCTACAGACGCCACAATATATCGTTTGTTGTGTAATAAATATAATTGAATGTTCTGTTGAATCTTTGGTGCAAACACATTTAACGTGTGTCACGTAACCCACAAGGTATACAGAGGTCTATTTGTCCACACTACCATAATATCCACAAAAAGGCCTAACTGTTACAATATATATAATGATAGAGCCATGAGAGAAAACAGAAAACTCGGAAATTATATGAAAACTGATTACAAACTTGAAAGATATTTAACTTTAAGTGTGAACAAAATGTTAATTTTTAAAATGGCCAGGTTTAGATTAGCAAACCATAATTTAAGAATTGAAACAGGGAGATACGAGAGAAAGAAAAAAGATGACACTAAACAGAATCGACTTGAATTAAAAGACAGAATTTGTCAAATTTGCAATAAAGGGGAAGTGGAGGATGAAAAGCATTTTCTTCTTTTATGCGATGGATATAAAGATTGCAGATATGAATTTTTTAACAATCAAAGTTTTATTGATTCATTTGAAAATATGTCTGATGAAGAACAATTTTCAATCAACGTCAGGAGCTATTTGAAAAAGGAATAAACTAGTTTGTAAGATAGTTATATTTATATATTTTTTTAACAATTGCATTTTACTGTATAACTGTATAATTCATGTCTTGTAATTGATTTTGTGAGGAAGTCAATTGTTTTGGCTTGAAACACAATAAAATCTTAAATCTTGAATCTAGTTCGTGCGAAAATAGTCATATTTCTGAGAGCGGGGTTCGTTCCCGCAGGCCTTTGATTTGTTGATCTTTCAGAAAAGGGGTTGTTATCGGCCGGGTGTTTCTTTTATAAAGAAAGGGGGTTCAAGGCGAACAGGAGCTCGCATGAGGCCGATAAACCCCCTCTCACTATGGCCATGCATCTAGAGTTGTAAATGTGGACAATATCTTTGAAATGGCTCCAAAGATAAAAGTTTGGGGATTCATATCGGGTGATTTTCCGCATTTAGAGCATGCTTTTTAAAATGACCATAAAAAGTGGACCAATGAAACTTAGGAAAATGAAATGACACTCAACAAGGTTTAAGTGTGCCAAATATGAGTTCAAATCCATGTTAGAAGACGGAAGTATTAACATTTATTTGGGTTACCTTTTTTGGCTCACTCTGTACTTGGACTTCGTTTTATTGCTAGTGATTACGATCGACTGATGTACACGCTCTACCGATTGTGCAATGACTTTCGTTAATCACAACCATAAATGAAATAAACAAGATGGAGATATTTTTCATTTTCCTTTCATTTGAAATATTAGAACTATTTAGATAAGAAATTCTTTGACGGATATGCCAATATCCGTCACTCTGGGTAATCAGGGGTTAATATAATATTTAATCGTCATTGTGTTAACAATTGCAGTTTTGAATTGGCTACATGACAATAATAAAATTTTTGTTTTGGTACTTGGTTTGAAAAGGGTACAGTCTTGTATTTCGGAGAACCTGGTCAATTCTTCGAAATAGTACTTTCTTATCTCAATAGTGCTTAAGTGAGACAAATATTTTGAGAAAAATGACAAGACAACGGCTCAAGTGGGCACGAGCCCACTGAAGAGGACTTTTGCTTCGCACCCAGAACAACCTCAACTGATAGGAGACACTTAGTGTCGTGTTGGTACGATCTTCATAATTGTTTTGTCTTTTGGTTGGCTAAGTCGATGACATGATTTGGATATTGGCCAACCCCTAATCAATGGCGCATTGAGGGACGCTGTCAAGGTATTTCTTGAAAGTCTGATATTTTGAATATATTTAGTATTTTATATATGTTCTTAAAACACATGCTGAATATACTGTATAACCCCTCGTATATGTCTGAATTTTGAGTTAAAAAGGTGCCCATGCAATAGATTATTCATTTGTGTTTCTTGAACGGACGGATAAAAATGAATAGAAAAGTGGCACGTTTTGTCTTCTTGGTAATATATATGATTTCTGGCGTTGTGATTGGCGCAGACCAAGACAATGGAAGGTATTTGATGCTTTTATTTATTTATTTATTTATTTAATTGTTTTCCAAGTCTCAAATGTTCTGATTCTACTGTGAGTCCATTTGCATGAGCAGTTTCCAATTCCTAAAAGAGATGCATTTAATCGTCAATTCTAAAAGTTTTATTCTGCCATATGTGAAATTAGGTTTCCCGAAATAAACCCAGAGATTGCAGTCCTTGAGACAAAATTGAGAAAGAAAAATATTTTTTTCAAAAACATTTTTGCACGAGAAATTACATCACGATGATGTCACTTAGTTTTTAATATGCTAAAACATTTAAGTAGCATATTAGGTATGACATTTTATTATTCAAATAGTACGTACTTTATTTAATCTTCGAAATGGTGTCAAAAAGTTAATATGTTTTACACTGAATAGATGAATATTTGATGATTAAAACATTTCAACTTTTATTTGAAAAGTGGCGAGTAATTTGAATATTTGAATACTTTTTTCCCTTAAAATCTTTTTTTCAAAAATCTCTAAAATAACTTTTGAAGTCATGAAAAATAGTAAATGAATGATAAAAACATATTTTCAAACTTCAGATGGGGCCGTTAACCCTCTCCCACGCACCAAGCGACAGAGAGCCAAATTAAAGAAACTTTCCGCCGTTTTCAGATACTACGGATTTTTTTTATATACACGTATAGTATATGTTAGCAGACTCAGCACACGTGTCAAGTGGGAACGCTCGTCAAGCTTTCTATAAAAATTGTGTGACCGGATTTATTTTACCAATTACGTAAAATTGATCAATAGTTTCAGTTCAAAGCATTTCAAATAACGCATATTTAATTAAATAAGTCACTAACTGCTTATAATCGAAAATGGATGCTTTTATCATTTTTAGTGAGAAACTCGCCGAGATTTACAACGATCTAAAAGATTCTGCACCACAGCCATCATTGACACGTGAGTTATCAATATGGATTAGATGCTTAGGCTTTCCTAAAATTAAAGTGGCAATGATTGTTGATTTAGCTATTTTTAAATCCAAAATGTACATCTTACTAACTTGGGAGGAGAGGGGCTAAGAGTAGTGGAAATCTATAACAATTCTGATGAGGCGACTCCTACAAATGCATGTACAACGGTACATACGCCAGTGTAACAAACTGTACATGTATATTTTATAGGTAAGACTTGTTCAGTTTGGCAGGCAGAAGGATTGGAATCAGACCATTTATTGGTCAATCCCAATGGAGATGGAGCGCCCTTGGTGGTTTTCTGCAACATGTCCACCACCCCCGCTACCATGGTACTAGAACATGACCACATGGACACAAAAACCATACGTGGACCCCGATGTAATTCAGTCGCTTGCGTCCGATCTGGGACAATTGTTTACTTCTCTGCGTCGTTAGATCGCTTGATTGAACTAATAGGGGCATCCAGATCTTGCCAGCAGTATGTCAGGTATAGTCTAGTAGCTAATATCGTATTCTCTCAGTTAAATTTCCTTTAAATACTTCCTGAACCATTTGGACACATATGTCTTTGAAATAGCCATCGGCTTTTAATTCTAGTTGAAAGGACATGAAAGTACTCATGAAATAGCCGATAGCCGATCGCCGATGATGCTTTCTGTTACGCATTACCTCTTTCTGTTTTCAACTACCAATATCTAGAAAGGACCTATTAAACATGAATTTGTTCTAGGTACGAATGTTATAACAGTGGAATGGACTTTACTCGCTGGATGACCCATGACGACAGGGTCATGTCACATTGGGGAAGCTCTTTTCGGGAAACCATGAATGCCGAAGAGAAATTCTGGGACCTGACTACTTCGGGAACTAATGAAACTTTTAGGCCTACTACCGAGGGTCCGACCGAGGGTCCGACCGAGGGAACCACGTGCGGATGTTCCTTGAGAGGGAACTGTGTAAATGGTAAGCCCAAAGGCCAAAAATACACAGACGCCTTTACAGTGTCTTTGTATTTTTATTGCTTCTATGACTCGAGATGTACACAAAAATGGCATTTTCCGTCTTGGTATTTTTCCGTATTAGATCGTCCCAAACGTTTAAAATGCAATTTTCTGAAATTAGAATTTCTAGTTGCTATTATTTGAGGCATTGCTGAATTGCTTACATACACATTATCAAAGATAATGTACAGTGCTCACCATAAATAAATGACATCTGGATTTGCTGAAGTGAGGATTTCCCATGTTAAAAACGAGAGAATTTTTAATGGGCCATACATTAGTAGTTCAGAGTATACAAAATGTAAAATATACAAAAGTAAAGGAATGTGTATCTAGACATTTTTGGAAAGTATGAAGTCTCAAATCACCATGGTCTGGGAATGGTGATAGAAAATCAAGATGTCATTTATTTATGGTGAGCACTGCAATGACCTTCGATAGCAAGTCGCTACTACAGTCTCGGCTGTAGTGGCTAGCCCCTTTGGCCGAATAGGTAGAGCGTCTGCCTCGCGAGCGGATTCAGCAGAAGGTCATGGGTATCTGCTAGCTTGTTACACTACAGCTCCCCGATGGAGGTGCCCAATGGTCACTTTTACAATTACAAACAATTGACTTGCTTATTGCATCGAACTTAAAAACTAAAGAAAATATAAATCTGCATCGTTTGCCTCTAAAGATGATTCCATAATAATTGAAATTAGAGGGTTGTAAATTGGTTCACCCTGTATTTCGTTTGTAGGGCAACTTTGCAATTGCAACAATGGTAACAATTACGACAACAGGTGGTATGTAGACCAAGGCTACTTATTTTCGGAGACGTCCCCAGCGGCAGCTGTTGATCTTCCTGTCAAGGAGGTCGGCTTTGGGCGCTTCCCGTGGTCGGATTCGGTTGGACGCTATACCATCGGGCCTCTGACATGTAAGGACAAAGGTAGGACAGATATATTGGTAACAGTTTTCGGTGACATTACATAGCATTACGTAGCACAGAAACATATAAAACATACATTATATGTCTCTGCGTAGCATAACGCTTTCTCAGACTCAGTGATTTGTATACTTTCTAGTGCTCATTGATGTTAAGATGATTTAAAGGGGCGACAAGGCCTGGAGAGAGAAATTGTAACTTTTTCTGAGCTATCAAGGCAACATTTGACTTAACATCTTCTTTGACATACCTATTTTCTTAAAGTGCAAATTCGGTAATTTCCATTTATTTTTCTTTACACTAATAGATTCAATGGGTATTGGTTGGTAGAAACAGTATACCAATTTTCGCTCATCGGAGGAAAAATTGTGGCTCAAAAGTAGTCAAAGTTGAATCATTTCCGCACTGCATTGAATGCAGTGGCAATCACTGACACTTTATAAGCACGTTCGGAGATCATAAACTCCAGCAACATGTTCAAAACCTGTTCTCATCGTGATGTCATGATTGGCACTTGACATTTGGTTCCCGATTTTGAACATCAAATTTTACATTTATAGAAAGATTTACAAGAACGGTACATGGTTTGACTTGTAAGTGGTGTATACTTCATTTAAAACATGTATAAACTGAATTTTTGTATGGATAAACTATCAATTTCAGCATTAAGAAGTGTAAAATCAGTTCAAAGCTTCAAAAAGGGGAAATCCACTTTTATAGTTTTAAGATCCGCCATGATTAAGAGGAATACCAGCTGAAATAATGTTTATCAAGGGGGGTTCTTTGTAGATAATAGAAATAGATGGAAGTCCTGATGAAATATTCAAACTCAAATGTAATTTGACACTGGTCCATGATCGTTAAATGTCCCCTCTGCACTAATTGTTGCACCATTATAATTCTGAGAATTTATTGTCATTTAATTTCATGAATATCTAAAATTGAGTGGTACAGGGCACCCGGTGCGCATTTTATCCAGATATATTAAAAAGGGGCATATTCAAATAAACATTTCAGAACTCAACAAGTTTAGATATTCATAAAACGGATTTGTATATCAATCACTTTCGTATTAATCAACATTCAAGACTTAAATGACAAGAACTCTTGTTCTAGCACAATAAGTTCAGAACCTTTAGCACAACCACCATGACATCGATACAGTACATTTGATCATACAAACCATACGTGACATAAAATAATATGGCAGTCTTCTCAATTTAGTTCGTGGATGTCCAAAGGCGCCCTCTTTTGGTAACACAGTGAACGACGCTGATAAGTTGGGCCACATGGCTGGAGACGTTGTCAACTACACATGCAGTGAGGGATTCATTAACCCAGTGTCTCCTTCATTGAGATGTGGCTATGATGGCGCCTGGGAGAGGAAAACAATTATTTGCGAAAGTAAGGCGCTGCTTTGTCACGTTTTGCTGAACAGCATACTCCACCAACACTGACTCACGATCCTCAGTGGTCTGCTTTACGTATCTTACTTTATCTATCATCGATGATTCTATAACTATATTGCCCATGTATATACCCTTTTAAACTGATAATGCGATCATCTTCGCTTTCTTTGTATTGCACTGGGGATCAACTGAAAACGGAGACACGATGTCTTCGTTTCAGCCCGTTTCAGAATTTCAGGTGGAAGATTTTTGTTGTCTTGATATTGTCACTTTATCCGACAAATTTCACACCCCATTCTCTTACATACGTCGTAAGACCGGAAGTTTCCTACGTTATACAAGTAAATATTTCGATATTTACAAATACGTCCCCTTGCTTAGGAAACGGAAACAGTTTTCCTTTAGTAATAGTACGAATACATGTTTTATTTTGCAACGAAGACTGCGAAGAGATATATAAACTCTGCGTATATCATTGAAATGTGCTGCTTTCTCTCCCGCCTTCTTTTTCAAAACCGAAACCTACGCACTACGTCATACGGGCCAAAAAATTAGTTGAAATTAGTATCTACGGTGGGAAATGTGTATTAAAAAACAATTATTTTCATATAGGGGTGAACTGTGGCGACCCGGGTAACTCTGCAACAACAAATCGAACGTTAGATGGTACGCGGTATGGTGACACGGTGACGTATACATGTAAACAAGGGTACAAGTACGAAAGAGGGGACATGCAGCGTAATTGTACAGCATCCGGGACCTGGACGGGGGAGGTGATGACTTGTTCACGTGAGTATAGACACAAGTACAAGCTACTTTTAATTAGATCATAGGATCATATACGACACTCATATACCCTCAGGCCTGCGCGGAGAATATAATTATAAACTACGAAGACGAAGCTCACTTTTAAGAAATGAAGTCGAACGAAAGGGTATAGGTAACTCTCCTAAGAACTCAGCTAAAACGTTTTGTGTTACGTTGAACTAATTACCGCACAAAGCAAAGCAGATGTCTTAAAAACAATAGTGTAAACTCACCAGAAGTTTATTTTAGCAAAGTCTTGGAATGCTTTGTAAATAAGGCTTTTGGAAGGAACTTTATTATTATTGCAACTTTATTGCACCATCTTCAACTAAGATATTAAAAAGCATTCAATATTTCTGGAGTATATTGGCCTCATTTCGAACACGCACTTTTCTCTGAAAACTTAGCATGATTTCTTCTGATTCACGGATAAGACGAATACTATATGTCGTTTACGGTTTACTTCTCCAATCTTAGCTGGCATGATTGCCTTCTCCGCCACGTCATTGCAAAGCTACTTTGGTTACTCCTCTAGTCCAGTACCTTTCAACAATGCCACTGTGAACGTAGGGGGTGCATATTCTACGTCAAGAGGTAAGGTATTAGTTCTTACAACCATGGGATTTTCTATTTTTCTGCATTAAAAGCAAATAACAAGCGGCAAAAATATGCTTTTTAATTTTTTTTAAAATTAAATGTATGAAATTAAAGTGTCAAAATGGTTGTTGATAAGCAAATATCATCATTCATATATGGTACAACAATGAACATCATACATAATCTGAACATTTTTGTAGGTGTCTTCACAGCACCATTTGAAGGGTTGTACCATATTGATGTCCATCTGGCAACGTACAGCTCGAACACCTGCTATGCATACATCGTTGTCAATGGAGGCAGAGTCAGAACCATATATGTTGACCCATATTCAAATAACCGTCAGGTGAGTTTAACTAAAATTTGATGTCCCATAACTTGAGTTTGCCATTACCTACTATACAGTATCTAGTATATTAGATGAATAAAAATTATGTGCGTTACGCAATGCCTGCAGTCACATTCGTTCCGATTCATCGAGAAAGAGTCGAAGGCATGCGAGGCGAATCCTGGAAACCCGGTGTAAAAGGGTAGGAGGTCCTATAAAATTATGGTCCTACTCTCCGTTGATTTGTATGGTGACCTAAATACAACTCTTTCCCTTATTATCTTATACACAATTAGGGCCAGTAAGGGCCGTTAAGAAAGGGGACTATTATCCCTGGGGGACCATCATTTCTTTCACACCTGGTTCGGGAAAGCAGGGTTCACTGTTTGTTTCCGTTGACAACTATGCGAAACTACATTCATAATTCATACGACAGTGAACAGGAGGTTTACAGTCAGACCCGGGTTCGCCAATCCCTTATTTAAATGTGTGTTTCGCGGACCAGGGTTTAAGGCCATTCAAAACGAAATACGTGTTTAATGTGGCCACGAAATAAAAAAGTTCGTTTTATTAGAATTTTTACACGTGTTATTTTGTATCTACCAAGACGTTAAGCATATTAGAAAAAGGTATGTATTATGATTGGTCTAAAATGTCCAAAGCTAGAAGACCCCTTATATTCGTTCGTTCTTTAGATAATGGAGAGGTTAAGCTACCGTATAAAATCCAAAACGCAACTTAAACGTATCAATGGCCCCTATACAAATACATGTAGAATTCACACATAAATAGCCGTTCAGCTCTAGTGTTTGTTTAGACTACACCATAGCTTGTAATGATTACATAGTATGCCATTGATGAAGTTCAATAGCTGGTTTTCTAATACATATTTTAAACGAGCTCGTTTCGTAAGATTATTGGAGTTAAATCATGCGTAACATACATCATCTTCTTCAGAAAGAATTATACTCTGCATCGAAATCAAAATTGCAAGGATAGTATTCAACAGACATGAGTATAATGATTCCCGTTGATAGCAACGTGAAATATGAAAATCTCCCGTTCTAAACACGCAACTTTGAAGTTGAACGGGTATCTGAAGTAGACTAAAGCGATACAATCCTATGTTGATTCAATGTACTTTGCGTTTACGTATACGTTTTGAAAAACCGTATTTGCTTAACCTCTCTATTATATCAGTACAATGGCTGCTAAAGCAATGAAAAATTGACCAGTAGAGATGAGGAACTTGAAACACATTTATTTTTATTCATAACAAGTGCGTGATACAGGGGTTGCCATTTTAGTAAAGGGTGTAAATACGTTTCTGATTGTTTTGTTCTGAGAATGCTGCTGCCATCTTTGAATAAACTCTAGATTATCAATGATATAATTATAATCTATTGTGATAACGAACACCTCCCAATCTGAATGTTTTTAACTGCATGGTGGCATTTGGATTAGACAGGTTTTACTGTATGAGTAATAGTAATACTGAAATTCAAAAAAATCTGAAGGCCTAGTCAATCTATTTTGGGAAATATTCTCAGCTATTTGAAATGAAGATCAACTTTGTAAGAAGTCTCTATAATTATTTTTTTAATTTATACAATAACATTATACTCAACTTTAGTTCAAATTCCAATGCTCTGGCCTTGGCTAATCAAAACAGTTCATTGCAATTGTTTCATCAATTATTATATTATTATATTAATATATCATAATTATTTCACATGCAAATACTGTACTGTACTGTTATCTTTCACAATTTTGCAATTTTGAAATTTTGCGGATATCAATTTTCGCTAATTATAAATTTTTTATAATTTTGTATCTATTTCTTTCACCATCATATCATTTCTCAAAAAAATTTCCAGCTTATTTGATTAAATGTTTTTAAAACCAAGAAATATGAATGAAACAGTACCTTCTTACCTTTAATTATTGCTATACCATGTACTTAAAGCCTTTACATGACACCTATCAGCTATCACCTGCTTCAAAAGCATAGGTGAAACTAAACTATTGAAATCAAGTGCTCACTTTAAATTTTTTTTATATTTTCTGTTTGGGAAAATCTGTTAGTTATCAGCTGCATTTTTGTCAGTCAAGATTTCTCTTCATCAAACCAAATCAAATCCAAGGAATGTTTAGTCAAATATCCAGTTGTTCAGGAATCGAACTCAATTCAAAGAATGATTAGTTCCATGGTGTAAACATATGCAACTTTGAACAATATTGGTATCAGCCATTATGTTACATTAAAAAAAAACAGAATGTAAAACTGTAAAAGACTTTCATGTAAGCAGGAAATTTCTTGAAAGAATACTAAAGGTTTCGCAACAGAATTTAGACGGTCATATGTTGAATTGCAGAAATTTTCTGAAAATGTAAGGTGTGTATGTTAGGCCAATGCATTATCTAAAGGAAAAGTACTCATACAGATGATAAAAAAAATTGGAGATTGAGACAGGGAAGGTGCAAAGACCCCATCAACATTTTTTTTCAAAAATGTTTTCCTGATTTTCAGTTCCTTCCATTTTTTTATAATGTTTTCACATTAATATGTTGCATTTGTAGACAAAGTTAACATACTAAAGAGAAAATATTTTCCTTTTAAGAGTTTATTTGTGTCTCCAAATGCAACATACTGATGCATAAAACATTTATAAAAATTGAGTAGAAGGGGAAGTTTTAAATTCAACGAACATATAGGCCCACTGAGCATTTATTTTGCACAGGGCCTTTATTAGAAAGAACTCAAAATAAATGCCATTGGCTTTTATTAAGACTAAGAGGGAAATTGAAAACATTTTTCCAAGGGCACAGGCATTCATTAAGAGGGAAAATAGCTTTCCCAAGCCAGTGGGTGTTTATTTCGAGGCGTATTATCAATCGAAGAGTTGACACATGGCCTTCATATACTCATGCAATAGTATCTATCATCTCTGATTGCACACTTCTGTTTTACCTTTCAAGCATTCGATTTGGATTTTGGAATGTCATAAAGCTATGCGGTCAAAAGTAATCTTAATACTTTTTAGTGAAAATGCATTTATATTTTTAAAATGCAGAATCTTGCGAATGCAAAATCCTCGAAATCCGATCACCTCCACATCTGAATTTTTTTTAACTGGTCATGGTGTTTTAACTGGTCATGGTGGCATTTGGATTAGACAGATATTACTGTATAAGTATTAGACAGATATTACTGTATAAGTATAATAGTATTACTGGAATTCCAAAAAATCATAACGCCTACAATGCTAGTAATATTAAGTGAAAATGCATTAATATTTTTTCAAAATCAAGAATCTTTCGGATGCAAAAACCTCGAAATCAGACGTTTAAATCTGAATGTTTTTAATTTGTAGCGGTGGCATTTGGATAAGACAGGTTTTACTGTATAAGTATAATAGACATTAATAGTATTACTGGAATTCCAAAAAATCATAAGGCCTATAGCAACAATCATGTGAACTTCAGGTCAAAATTCCAATGCTCCCTTGGCCAATCAAATCAGTTCATTGCATTTGTTTCATCAATGCTCTCAATATAATAATTATTCCACATGCAAATACTGTACTACCGGTTAATTTGCGAGTTTAAATTTCATGAATTTTGAGAAACACCAATTTTGCGGCCATTAAATTTTGCGGATATCAAAGGTTTAACTTCCATTATTCTCTGAATCCTCAAAATTAATTTATCTTATCTACAGTAATTACACCTACCCAATATCATATACTTTGGATAAGATTTACAATCTCTAGATCTTAGTCAATGGCATGTTGCACCTCAGCCTTTAATTGGCGATATTCGCGACTATTAATTTTCGTGATTTTTACACAATCGCGAAAAGCACGAAACTAAATTGCACGCGAAAAATATCGGGAGTACAGTACATTGAAACCATACACTCTTATATTTCATAAGAATTTGCAATCAAGCCTAACAAATCTATTGGCAAAATATTAGAAGGCCAGCAAATGTACACATGCTAAAGTGATGAAACTTTAATGAATTTTAATTTTGCCTATACTGAGATGTGTTAAACTCTATTTGGGTTAGATTTATTCGGCTACACCCTCTACTTACAGCCTTAACATGCCCCCTATCGGCTATCACCCGCTTCAAAATCATAACAGGTTCCTTTATATCTTCCTTTATCTTCTGTTTATTAAGAAAAGCTGTTAGCTATCAGCTGTATTTTTGTCAATCAAGATTTCTCTTCATCTGTGAATTACCCAGCGAGAAACCAAAATGGCAATTTTGATGGAAAGACACAAAGTACCAGTCAAAATCTCTGAAGATTTCCGGGCAAACAATGGCAGCTCTCCCAGTTAGGTTTAAGACTGTCTTCTCATATTTTGTCAATTTTATTCAATTTCAAGTATTGTTTAGAGTTGTGCGTTCAACATATTCGAGAAGTCAATAGCTATAATAAATCTGCAGATTTTGCTCGCATTTATGTAAGCTTTTCTCTTTTGACGGATACTTTGTGTCTTTCCTTGAAATCATGACAGGTGTAACTGATCTACTGAAATCAACTTCAAGTGCTTACTACTATCTCCCAATGTGAGCTACATCAGTGCTTTTTGTTTAGAAAATATGTAAGTTATTAGCCGCTTTTTTGCCGATCAGGATTTAAATTCTCTTTATCTGTCATGTACCTAGCAAGATTCAGAGATTTTGACTTGTACGTCATGTCTTTCCGTCAAAACTTCCATTTTTGGTTTCTTGGTAATGAGTAGCTTCTCAATGTATAATGAGAATTTGCTGTTCGGCACAGAAGCACCTAATTTTTTTAATTTTTTTCGATTTTCGCGAGGAGGACACTAACACAATTTTGAAGCGGTTGATAGGGGGCTCTAAAGGCTGTTCTAACATATCAGTCACAGCCTCTGAAAGAGCTAGATCTAAGGCTCTAGCTTTAGGCTAGTCTAAGTCCTATAGTCTATCTAGTAGTCTAGGCCTAGATAGCCCAGGCATAGGCCCGTAAAAATGTAAAGAAATAA